TTTGGAGGGGTCGACCCAACCGCGGTACGGGATTGGTCAGTGCCAACTTCTCAGCCTGAAGCGGTGACCGCCTAGCTGAATGAAGGAAATATTGCCGTCGATCCATCGAGACCGACGACGCACTGTAACTCTTCTCTCTTGCCTACTCCAATCTTCGCTACCTGACTTTCATCTAGTTCTTTCTTTTTTTTTTTTTTTTTTTCCTTCCCTCTCCCCCCTCCATTTCATTTTAATCTCTACGTGAACACGGTTGAATCCTCCCGTTTTCTCGTATTCTTGAATTCTGGAACCAACCCAGGGAGAATCGTTGTTTATAACTCCCTCTTCTTCCTCACGGTATGGTGCTTCTCATCCATCCCTTGGTGGGTGTTGCCACTAACGGAGATAATTCCATTAGCCCTCCTGCCCCCACCCATTCCGTCCTACGCATGCGCCATCGATCTTGTGAACCCTCTATTCTTTTTACAATTGATCAATTCTGCATTATCAGCCTCCTCTTTCTCATCACCGCTCTGGACATATTCGTGGTGGAAGACGGATCACGTTAAACGTCACCAATCTGCTGCTGTCGCCCGTTGGGGATACTCACCCATGCCACGATAGCACGGTTAGTGACAGATTGTGATAGCGCTTGGTTGGGTCGAGTCCAGTCGAGAAACATCGAAATGGAATCTTATTCTGAGTCTGCACCCGCGGTGAAGCAAGGTTCTGGCGAGGATGCCTCTGAGATTGCGCAGTTGGTCCAGGAGGTACCAGTTACCGACGTTTCTGCAAAGCATGTTTCGGAGAACGAGCTCAGTCCCGGTGCTGCCGAACGAGTATATCCAATTCGGTCAATGGTCTTCGTCGATCCCTCGTCGAATCCTGCGTCATCCGACGATCCGATTTCACCAGTGAGGGGAGCCAGGCAATATTCGATAATCGATTCGCGAACATGGGATGAACTGCAGTCACAACGCAAGCCGGGTACAGAAATTGTAGCGGCTCCCGTTGAGCTGGTTCAACTGCCCATGGAAGCACCGGGCTCCGGTAGCGAAACCCTTGTCCAGAGCCCCGCCACCCCCGCAAACGCGTCGCTCGAGAGCCCGGCGGAGGTAGAAGAAACATCGCATTTGGTTACCACTCGATTTAAGCACGTTGAAACGGACGATGGCCACGCTGTTCTCACCGGCAGAACGGTCGATTCTTTTCGGGCCTGCGAAGATGAGCCTATTCACATCCCCGGCGCAATTCAAACCTTTGGTGCGATGATGGCCCTGCGCGAGGAGTCGGAAGGAAAACTAGTAGTTCGCGTGGTCAGTGAGAACTCAGAAAGTATCCTTGGCTACTCCCCCCACAGTCTCTTTGCACTGGAAAACTTTTGTGACATCCTCGATGAGGACCAGGCGGATAATTTATTGGATCATGTTGACTTCATCCGTGATGAGGCGTACGATCCCAGCGCTGATGGCCCCGAAGTGTTCATTATGTCTATCACCAGCCCGGCAGGCCAAGCAGTGCGGCTCTGGTGCGCCATCCATGTCAATCCCGCCAATCCGGGTCTGATCATCTGCGAGTTCGAACTGGAGGATGATCGTACTAATCCCATCAGCGGCTCCAGCGGGCCGTCCCCTTCAGTGCCTGTTGACACCCTGGGTGTTGAATTTACCCCGGAACAATTCGCGGAAAGCACCATCAACATCAGCCAGCCATTACGGTTGCTGCGGAACGCGCGCAGGCGAAAGGGCGAAGCCGCCGCAATGGAGGTTTTCAGCATTGTTAACCAGGTTCAGGAACAAATGAATCGCGCCGAAACATTGGATCTGCTGCTTAACACCACTGTGGGGATCGTTAAAGAGCTGACGGGATTTCACCGAATCCTGATCTATCAGTTTGATAGCCAGTGTAACGGCGTTGTGGTGGCCGAGTTGGTTGATCCGAGGGTCACCGTAGATCTTTATAAGGGTTTACACTTCCCCGCGTCTGATATTCCCAAGCAAGCTCGAGATCTATACCGAATCAACCGTGTTCGCTTGCTTTACGACCGCGAACAAGTGACAGCACGCTTGGTTTGCCGCACTGTGGAAGATTTGGAGCGACCCTTAGATATGACACATGCATACTTGCGTGCCATGTCACCCATCCACTTGAAATATTTGGCTAACATGGAGGTGCGTGCCTCGATGTCCATTAGTATCAACGGCCCCAGCGAGCTGTGGGGTTTGATCTCTTGCCATACCTACGATACTGGCATGAGAGTCTCGTTCCCACTCCGAAAGATGTGTCGACTGATCGGAGAAACACTGTCGCGCAACATTGAGCGTCTCTCATATGCATCGCGTCTGCAGGCCCGCAAACTGATCAACACTGTCCCAACCGACGCCAATCCGTCCGGGTATATCGTTGCTTCGTCCGACGATTTACTTAAGCTGTTTGATGCCGATTTTGGTGCCCTATCGATCCGCGATGAGACCAAGATCTTGGGTGGGTCAACTCATCAAGAAATGCTGGCTTTGCTGGAATATCTTCGAATGCGCCGGATTAACTCTGTGCTCGCGTCGCACAACATTAGGAAAGATTTCACGGACCTCAAATACCCCCCCGGGTTCAAATGTATCTCTGGGTTGCTCTATGTTCCTCTCTCCGCTGATGGCATGGACTTCATGGCCTTTTTCCGGCGGGGCCGACTGACGGAAATCAAGTGGGGTGGCAATCCCTATGAACAGAAGGAGAAGATCGGTAGGCTCGAACCGCGACAGAGTTTTCAGATTTGGAAAGAAACCGTTCTGGATCAGTCTCGCGAGTGGACGGACTCAGACGTGGAGACGGCTGCCATTTTATGTGTGGTTTATGGCAAGTTCATCAAAGTATGGCGCCAGAACGAGGAAGCCATGCAGGGCTCGCAATTGACCAAGCTTCTTCTGGCAAACTCCGCCCATGAGGTGCGGACGCCCTTGAATGCGGTCGTTAATTATCTGGAGATTGCACTAGAAGGCGCGCTGGATAAGGAAACCAGGGACAATCTCGCCAAGTCGTACTCCGCGTCGAAGTCATTGATTTACGTTATCAACGACCTCCTCGACCTGACAAACACGGAAAAGGGCCAGGATCTCATTAAGGACGAACCTTTCGAGCTTGGGGTGACGTTCAAGGAAGCGACTGGCATTTTTGAGAGCGAAGTGGAACGGAAAGGGATCAACTATACCGTTTTGTCACATCCTGGCATCCCCCAAACAGTTATCGGGGATCAAAGACGTGTGCGGCAAGCCATGTCCAATCTTATCTCGAACGCTATTCAGCATACATCTGGTGGTGATATTACCGTCGAACTCTGGCGCCAGCCGGGCCGTACAGAGGATGGATCCGCAACAGTACAATTCGCAGTCCTTGACACGGGATCGGGCATTTCTCAAGCTCGTCTTGAGACTTTGTTCCAGGAGCTCGAACAGGTCTCTGCCGAGAGTGAAAACCGTGGCCTGGGGGAAGGTGGCAGGGTTAATTTACGCGAAGTCGTGGATGAGACAGAAAAGCAGGTTCTGGGACTGGGGCTGGCAACCGTCTCTCGCGTCGTACGTAATATGCAGGGGCAACTCAGCGTCCGGTCGGAGGAAGGCAAAGGGAGCCGGTTCCAGATCACATTGAATTTCCCTCTGCCGGCCGATGCCGCCTCTGCCAAAGACGAGGCCGAAGTTCCTGTTCACAACGTTGTACCGACCCCTCCGTTACAGTCGAAAGAAGAGTTCGTCTTGGTTGATACCCGCTCTGAGGGATGTAGCCATGGCGGAAGTGACACCAACAGCGAGAGTGGGAAAACCACACAGAGACCTCCCACGTCACAGCCAAGCCTGGATGAAAAATCTAAACATCACCCAGAGACCAGCGGCCTACCCACACAGGCATCTGCACCAGTTGACCTGCCCCCAGAGACAAAGACGGAGTCCACATCGCCGACCAAAGAGCCTCCCTCCACACCCGACCGGTCTCCTTTACCTGATACCTTTCATGTCCTTGTTGCGGAGGACGACCCGATCAATAGCAAAATTATCCAGAAACGACTGACCAAACTCCGACACACTGTACGCCTAACCGTGAATGGCGAAGAGTGTGCAAGCGCCTATCGTGCGGACCCTGCTCAGTTTGATGTGGTCTTGATGGACATCCAGGTATGTGCTGCCTTCACCATGCTCCCCTTAAACAGCGCTAACCAGTCCTGCATAGATGCCAATTGTCGACGGTATCGGGTCCACTAAGATGATCCGTCAATTCGAGCAGGAAGCCCCGCCAGACACACTCTCAAGATTTTCTAGATTGAACGGCCGAATACCCGTCTTCGCTGTCTCGGCTTCGCTCCTTGAGAAGGACGCAGAAAAGTACATTTCTGCAGGCTTCGACGGCTGGATCATGAAGCCAATCAACTTTGAACGGTTGAACACCCTCCTTGCCGGCCTCCGCGACGATGATATCCGCAACAGCGCTACCTACCAACCCGGTAAATGGGAGAACGGCGGCTGGTTTCAAGGGCGCTAACAGCCCTGATCTTTCTGAATAACCCAATTTCCCTGATTTAATGAACTGATGAAAAGCTGCCCCTCTGGGTTTGCCGACACCTGCAATGAGCGTTGCGTTAGCATTTGATCAACGTTTTTAATGGCATAAGTATCCTTTGGTTAGGGAGAATGCCCTCAGCTTTTGTATTTCACATCTGCATTCATACTACATATATATATACCCCATCAATCGATTTAGTTCTACAGAATGAACTGGATATTTATGTATTGATCGAGATTCTGTATTGTTTCAGCATAGACAATGATAGTGGTTTCAGATGTAACTCCATAGCCGTCGACAAGATACAGATAGCTCTAGCCTTTCACGTCCAGATATAGCCTCTCATAGTTGCTGAGCCAAGTGCCTAAATGGAACGAGGGAGTAACAGACCTGAACATACACTAACTACTGATTTTCAACTCGAAAATCAAACCCATAACAATCTACAACAACCTATACCAAAACACCCAAAATCAAACAAACCCAGCAATAACCACCCCAACCCCCACCAACCCCGGCATCAACTCCTCCCCCCCACACTGCAAAGACATATCCAAAAGCCTCCTCGCGGATAGAAACGCCTCCCCACTCTGCCAGGAATGGCACTTCCCAGACTCAACCCGCAACCCGACCTCCACCCCATCCTCCCTCGCACAGTCCACAAACTTCACAATATCATCCACGAAGATCTCATCCGCACCCGCAGACACCCATGTCCGAGTCGGGAGAACACGCCCCCAAGAATCCCTTTCCATAGATCGGGCGGTAAAATTCCCAAACAGAGAGATCAACCTGGCATCAGCGCGTAGAAGCTCTCCCCCAACTCGCTGGAGGAAAGCCCTCGATATGAAATCCCGTTTCTCGAGGATGGGTATCATAGGAGACGAAAGAGAGAGATCGAGCCAGGGACTTAGAAGGATCAAGGACCCTGGCTGTTGATACCCCTCTGCTATATTCTCCCTCTTATTCTCATCTAGAGAAAATCCCTCAGCAAGAGCAACTAAGAACGACAACGCAAGATGGCCCCCCGCAGACTCTCCCACCAAACACACTTTCTCCGCCCTCACGCCCTCCTCCTCAATCAGATACTCGTACGCGGCAAGACACTCATTGATCTGCCTCGGAAACGTCCCATTACTTACCAACGTGTAATCCAGCGTAAAGACACAGACGTGAATCCCCTTCTTCTCCAATACCTCAGCGAGGAATAGTAGCCCGGGGAGCGTATCCCCCGGATGGCCCAGGGCATACCCGCTCCCGCGGAGGTGGTAGATGACCAGGTCTGCGTGTTTAGGGTTGATGGGTGGTGTCGCGAGGAGGCCACGGGATACCCAGTACCCAGTGAAACTGGGTCTTTGGACTCCGTGGAAGAGGTGGGATTTGAGTGGTCTGTAGCGGGGCGAGAGGAGGGTTGTGGAGCCGCTTCTGTTGGGGAGGGTGTTGTGGATTGCTAGGGGGAGGTTCTCGAAGGATCTTTGTTTTTTGTGTTGGGTTTGTTAGTTTGGTGTTTGAGGTATGGATTAGGATATGAAGAGAGAGAGAGAGAGGTATGCTTTACTCTCGTGTAAGAGACCGGACTAGGTCCTTTAATAACGGTGGACGGCTTGTTGTGCCTGTGAGATGGTATAGCGTCGTCCTGAAGATAGTCCATGGGATGCGGATGAGGAGGAATGCTGTTAGGGCTATTATGTCCCGGGGTCTGATTCGGGGTGGTGGGTTGGGGTCTTGCGTGGTCATTTTCTTGTGTGGTGGTTTTTTGTGATTCTTTTTTTGGGGATGAGCTTGTGCGGTATAGTCGGAGCAGCATATCTATCTATCTATACTATTCGGATTTAAGACGCGGCATGTGGATCGTTAACGGCTCGGGATCCACTGTTTCCGATGCTCGGGATGTTGTGATACAGGCGATCGACTCGGGTTGTTTCAGGTGGTTTATCCGAGATAGGGGAAGGATGGGTGTCGATCATGGGTAAAATTTTTCGGGTCCCGATCTGCGATGTAAGACCTGGAATAGTGTTGTTTGTATTGTAAGGGTGAGTTGTGGTGGAAGGAGTTGGAATGAACAGGGTGAGAGATGGTGCAGTAAGCATTGCTATCTAAATTCTATATTAAAGTCCGGGTATAAGAGACACCGGTACTCAGATATCCTCGTTCTCACCAGGCCGAGTTAAAGAAACCCATGAATCCGCCTTCCTGGCCTCTTTCTCCTTGGGCAGGAACCAATAGGGATGAAAAATGTTGAACACAACGACAGCAAGCACCATAGTGATTCCATCAAGACCAATGAAGAACTGCTCCCGTGTGATTAGATATCCCGTCCAGCCTTGCAGCAGTTCGATCGTGCGGTAGATGCTTCGGACGTAGATGCATACTACGGAGAACGTTGTCGCCAAAACCAATAGGCGCATTCGCGGGGTGAATCGGGCACGAAGTTGCGGTCGACGACACCGAACGAGAAAGTCGATACCGCAGAAGGCAAACGCTGTGATGGCGGCCATCTGGAATACAATACCGGCCACCATTGTATTGGTCCCTGGGGCAGTGTCCCCGTCTATTTCGCCTGCTGCGGAAGAGGCCATCCCACCACCCACTGCCTGAACGACCAATGAGACTATATCACATGTGCAAAATATCCAGAGATACCAGCTGGGGCGAAGAATAGAACTTTCTGGGCCCAGGAGCGCGATGAGTTGGCCGAGAAGGACGTATATTCCGGCGGTGAAGAATGTCGGGCCTAAAACAAAGGACCATTTGTCAGACAGCGTTGGTAGGCGATATATTGTGCACAGAACATACCGATAATTAGTGTTGATATTTGCATCAAGAAGGCGTCCGTTTGATACGGACACTCCGCTGACCACGTCCGTGCTGCCCACCCTAAAACCTCCGCTGCAATAAATCAGCGTACGACCTCAGTCAACTCTTTCGACCCAAGACATACTCAAACATCCTATGGCAAATAGTAAGCACCACCACTTCTTGGACCAGAACGATTGTGCTGTGTGGGCCACCATGGATGTCCCAAACAGCACACAGAAGGCAATGCCTGCTGCTAGTGAGGGCTGGTACCCGTATGCCGGTTCGACTCCCTCTACGAAGGCATGACAGCCTTCGTGCAGATAATCCTCAATCATTAGCAGCTAAGTGTAGGCCAACACGATGTGGTTGGTTTCAGTGAGCAGTCAGATCACGCTTGTCCTCGCGAAGGGAAGAATGGTATAAATATGCATGAACAAAGAAGTGGGCCGCTGAAAGACTAGATACGTCCAATGTTGGCAATGAGCTAACCATCAGAGCCCCTTTCCGTGTCCAAATAGGCACCAAGTGATCGAACTGGTCCCATAGTATGCCAGTATTCGACAGGTTTGTGGAGTGTGGACCGACCACCGAGCTCCGATGTGGTCTTGGCGGATGAGGTCCGAAGACCGACGTTTGAAACTCGTGGGCAACAAAAACTAAATTGACTGAAAATTTAGATTAAGCGACTATTTTTCGGTGGTGATGACGCAAGGCCTGATAAATCTTGTGGAATGGCGGGTTTTTCTAACTGTCGTGATGTTTTGTTCTTCTGAATATTTCGGTACCGCGCACGCCTGCTTGAAAATGCCGACTTTTCTCCCCCAACCCTCTAGTATGCGCAGGTCACGAAATAGATCTCCTTTTAGCAATTAAAAAGGTGCATCAACATGCGCAGCCTTTCTCTGCTATTACAGCCATCCTTGTTACCGAGTGCGGAAAGATCGGGCCCTCGAAATGGAGACACATCTTCATTGTGGTAGATCCAAGCTGTACCAGGAACCGATAGGCAAAAGCGCTCTAATGTCATCCTAATTACTTCATTCGATACAGTCACCGGGACCAACTGGTTTGCTCTGTGAAATATTAGGTACCCATGCTTTGATGTTTCGGGGAAAACCCCCGATGAATACGCTGAAGCCGTAAAGAATGGCAGTCTGTCAGGCTCAGAAAGGTAGATTCTGGTCGAATGGGATGGAAGTTCCAAAAAGGTCCGTTACGTCGAACCCAGTCAGAGACCCATCCCCGGCGTTCAAGTCGTCAATAGCAGGAAAGAACAACGGAAGAGTGTCTGGGCTGGCCAAGGGCGGTCGGTGGTCATGCGCCTGAATGCCAAAGTAAGCGCTGGAGTGGTTTAACCTCACGCCAGAACACTTACCTCATTTTCTAGGAAAGGCGCGGCTGAGGGAAGGCTATCGTCTTGTCTGCGCAGCGGATCATTGGTCACATTGGTCAGCATTGCGATATTACTTCCATCATTCCCTTCTGCACGATAAGTGCGGACGAAGGTCCGGGCAATATACGCAAACTCAGCAAGCACAGAGCTTGGTAATGAACCACCGGTAGCATACTCCAGTCTACTAAAGTGGCCTCCAGCTACTTCCAGCAGAGCAAGGTTGCTAGCCGTTTCAGGGTGCGTTGGGTTGTGAATAACGAGGTCGAAGAGGATAAATAACGCTGATAAGGGTAGATGAGCAAGAATGCTGCGCACCAGGTCAGTTGAATTCATCCCCACTGGTGTAGGGATACATACTAAACTGGTGTGTAAGCCTCCATGTCAATGTGCCGCAATAACTCAATGATCGATCGCGCCGCTTGCATAATAGCCTTTCTGGCGGCTACCTGCTGAGGGCCATCGGAATGCCGTCCCAAGTGCAAGGTCAAGCGGCACAGCGCAATACACGCATTATGGTAATAAAAATGAGTCTGCAGAGCAATGAACGTTTCACAGGAGCCGTGGAACGATTGTGCCCGGAATGGCTCCCCGGGTCGAAAGGTGATCGGTATGGATTGTCGCCAGCGTTCGAGTAGGCTGTTCATGGTGTCTATCTTTCGGTAGTAAGATGCCTCTGTATTCCACGTTGCACTAATTGAAAATAGAGACTCGTATGCTCTTGATAAAAAGCGAGCAAGACCAGCAGATGCAGTCAGCCAATTATAGTCACCAAACACAGACTCCGGAACGGTAGGAACGGGGCATCCTATGTCGGAGTCCATGATCACCTATAGTACAAAGAATAAGTCGATGTGCGGACGTAACTTTGCATTGTACTTACCGAGGTGTTGCCGTGATGGAAAGAAAGCGTTTTCTCCAAGGCGTAAATAACCCAGAAAGTTCGATATCGGATGTGTTGGTCTGCTGCATCTGACGCTGCGTTCAATCTCATACGCTGGGCTACACAAGCAGCTTGCTTGATGAAAAGGGAGTCCAGGTGCATATAAGAAAAGTTGAGCGCAAAGATTGCCTAATTTTATCAGTTCTGCACCATAGAGCATATGAATGGTACATACCATTGCAGTGATTGCCTGTAGCATTGTTAATCAACCGCCCACCCAAGACTGTGTAAGCTACCATACCTGTAATCCACCTAGGCATTCAGCTCCGACAAATATGTCGGAAGCAAATCCTAAAGCTACCTGGTAGAGCTTCCAGCTATTCCCCTTTCCAGGTTCGAAGGAACCGCCATCATGGTACTGGCAGCCTAAAGCCAGGACGGTATGATACAAGGCAGACCAGTGAATATCCCCTGCAACATCGGCAGCTAAACTGGCGCTCGATATTCTTTGTTCAAACTTTGTTCGATTAAGAAACGGGTAGACGGGATGGATCTGGCTGAAATATGCTTCCAATCGTCAGAAATCATGCCACGGTTCCGGAATGAGGCAATCGTACAGTTAACATAAAGCCTCATCGCGACTGCCTCCACTACAGGTAAACTCTCGGGTTTCTGCCATAGTTTGTCGGTAGCCGGTCCCTTCTGTTCATGGTGACGTTCATAGCGATCATTCACCACGGCGGAAATTCGATTCAGCAGGCTTTCAACTCCGGTATGGCCCAGGCGGTTAGTAAGTGCCCGTATGCGACTTTCGGAAAAGTACCCGATACTTGCACTCCCAACTTCAAGGAAACCGTTAGCAGTTTAGGTCTTGTGGTTCGCAGCATGGAGAGCAGTTCAAAGACCACGAGAAGATTGTAAAGAACCATAGACATACTGTAGCTATCGTGATGCTATATACCGCAAGTTAGATGACTAGTTCATAAATATATCTATTTTAAGAACCCATACCGTGACAATTGTCTCCAGATAGCGAGTCCTCCCGGGGACGCGATGGTCTTCGATGAGCTGGTCCACATAGAGAGGTAATGGATCAGGAGAATCTTGTGCTAGAATGCTTTGAGTACCAGTAGAGAGGTCACACCCGTCTGGCTTAGACGGATACTCGGGGGAGCCAATATCATCCGCCGTGTCGCGAGATGGAGTCACGCTCGGCGAGGAAAGATTGGCAGCATCCCGAAACTTTCTTCTGTACGCTTGAAACACGCATTTGTCACCTCGTTTCTAATACAGATACATCAGCACTGCGTATCATATTGTAGCACTGGGGGTCAGTTACCTGGCAGTTCTGGCATTTTGCATCAGGACCGCCTCCTTTTGGCTCTAGTGGTTCCTGTGCGTTAGCGGCGAAGCCTACGTGTATCGTTAAGTCTTACTTAGACAGCGAACTTTGCGTGACCTGCACTGATTGCAGGTCGATGACAACCTCTGGCGTAGCATCTCAGAGTGAAGTCTTGTACTGTTGTGTAGATAAATTGGCTCTGGAAAGTGAGGGACTTGTATTTGCTTAGTCAGTCTATTTTATACAGGTTAGTCATGGACCGCATAACATGTGGGTCACAATCTGTGCATAATTTATCTATAAAGGAGGACATGCGAAGAACGTGTGTATCAATAGCTTAGAAGGGGAGGGGAATAATGAGCTACTTGAAGATACCCTGACCCAGTCTGTTCAATAAAATTAGTCGTATTTGTAGGCCAGACTAGATTTGCTAGGGGGTTCATGTTTGGCAGTAGAATCTGATATCAATACACACTCGAAATTTATACATTCGAGGACGGATATAGGCTCTTCGTAGCTTGTAGTAATCTTTGGAAAAGTAGTCTATACACACGAGACATTTACCCCCAAATCCACCCCCAAGCTCGTAGGCCAAGTCTATTGTAGCGGGCTAAGTGACTGCCGAATGTAGACTATAAACCCGCTAATCGTGATACTTTGCCGATCCTCTCGGCTAAGTGTCAAACGGCAAAATGGCTCCTCACTTCCACGCTCCACTCTCGGTCAAACTACGACCGGTAATGGACTCCCCGGCTGCTATTCGACGCAGGAGGCGTCGTCGCGTAGCGGAGGAGAATCGCAAGAGGTCCATCAGAGCGTACGTATTCGAATTCTTGCCGTGTTTGCTCCCGGGGTCTGACCTTAATTCATTATATCTTAGTTGCGACCGTTGTAAGGCGAGAAAAAGCAAATGCGTTGAATCAAATCCTGGCAGATGCCAGCGGTGCGTCGTTAATAATCTGTCCTGCAACTTCCAACGGTAGGTGCACGCAATATAAAGCAACCACCTAGAGCAGGGGAAATTGTCAAGATCGAACCCACATTCTCACTTGGAATAGACCGATATCGCCTCCACTTCGGGGAGACGGTTCAACAGAGTTAACTCACGATGCAACACTAGACACACCAACGAATACTGGGAAGGCTGCCGCACAGGGCGCCTCGCATCACCATAGGTCGCTACCCCCAGCGCCAGTTTTGTCTCCACGACTGGCTAGTAATGTTCTTACCGGAGAGGCTGCCGGGGGCTCATGGCCCAAAGTGCTCTCCCGGCTTCGGGAGGCTTTCTGCTTGGACGCGCAAGGAGGCCCAGAAGAACAGCGCATAGCTGTGTGCCAGGCTGTAAGTTGAATCGACTTATGTATAGGGTAACGATAACTCACGGAGTGCCGCAGATGAGCCATCCCACAGCACTCCACCACGCGGAGCTGGATCGTCTAGAGTCGGCGGTGCATGCCTTCCCTCCGCACCCAATCGCCTCTTTTCTCTTGTCGGTCCTCATCAAACATGCCACCGACACCTTCTTTTACGTGGATCAAGCCGAATTCGCGTCGGAAATACATCAATTCTATACTGACCCAACTTCACCGTTGAGGTCCGACTCGACTTTTGTCTGTCTCGCGATGGCAACCTTCGCGCTGGCAAGCCAATGGACGACATTGGAGAAACCAGAGGGACACCAGACAAACGTCAGTCTGGAAGGGAGTGATCTGGGTAGGGTATTCTTCGATCACGCTCGAATGCTGATACCCGACATTATCGAGCGACCGTGTCTACGGTCAGTCCAGGCTCCCTTTGTATTGGGGGTCTACCTGATGCCTGCGAGTGCAATTGGGTCGTCATACGTCTACTTTGGGTTGGCTCTACGGAAAGCATTGGCACTAGATCTCCATCAAGACGTGGACGACCAAAAGATGAATGAACGCGAAATTGAGGTCCGCCGTCGTTTATGGTGGTCACTTTACTCGTTGGAACGGCTAGTATCCTTCGTCAAAGCAATGACCACTGTTCATCTAATGGTATCATAGGTGTACTACGGTCAAGCTGAATCGACCACGTTCCATCAGCGTTGACACCATTACAACGCCTGTCCCATCGTCCCTTCCAGCGCTGGACCGCTCCCAGAAATTCGATAACCTCCGGTTCCAAATCGCGTATATGCAGTTGGTCAAAGTTTTAGATCGTATTTCCGATCCTGAGTAGGTCAAAGCCTTCGTCTATCAATGAGCTTAGGGGCTAATTCGCGCAGGCTGGGGGGCACCGGTGACGAGCTCGCGCTCCATGCCAGATATGAATCGGAGCTCAAAGAATGGAAAAGGGCCCTGCCTATAGAGTTCAAGCTTCATGACATTGACCCCCAAGACTCGAGATATCGCGCTGTCTTTCATCTCTACCTCAATTACTACTATGCATGGATTGCCATAGGAAAGGCATCTCTTGTATCAGTCGTTCGAGCAAAGCTCCGCTCCTGTGCTACCGGGTCTCAGCCCCTCCAAATCAGCAATGTGACTAGAAACCTATCGAGATCATGTGCAAAGGCAGCCCAGAAACTTCTTAGGCTGTTCGAAACCATGAGCATGTCACACAAAATCACTCGATTCTCCTTTACCGACTTTCAAGGCTGCAGCATCGCAACGATCGTCACCTTACTTGATGGGATCCCCGAACGTGACTCGGGGTACGAGGCACGGGTGACGTTTGGTCTGGAGCACCTCCGGCAGATGGCTATCGGGAATGCAACGGCAAAAATGGGCGTCCGATTTGTCGAAGCAATTCAGTTGATTACGAACGAAGCACGGGAGAAAGTCACTCGGTCAGCATGTACATCTGAGAGAACACCTCAGGGCAACAGTGGCATATCTTCGACTTCTGAATACTCTCAGTGGGCCGCATGGCTCGCCCAACAGGAACAGGCTCAAGGACTGAGTGACAGGACGCCTTCGTTATCTGTGGTACCCGAAGCCATGACACCACTCTCGCAAGCCGGACAGTGGCACAATACTACAGGCCTGAGGCCGGCATGGGCCCCTGCCGAGCGGCATATGTATTCTCCGACCTTGTTTTCGATGCAGAATCTTACGCAAGAATCAGGAGCATATCCAGAAGCACAGGATGTGGACTATGAATTCCTTCCTACACTACATCATGACGAGCAAACCTTTTTGATGGAGCTGACGGGCCTTGGCGTGCTGGATGTTTCTGGATTGTCGAACCCACTCGAATGATCTTAGAAGAGAAACCTGTGGGCTAATCATAGCTATTGCAGTGCTTTTCTTTCTCTTTCTTTTCTTTATCGCCGCACAGGATAGCCTTTTATGGAATAGACGACTAAGGTATTATATGGACGCATAGAATCGATATGTCCTCATAACTCATTGATATATATATACAATTTAGGTTCATCCTCTCCAGAACTTCTCCCTTGAGTACCTTTATAGCCTCAACGGCGTGGCGCCGTCCTCGGGGACCGCCGTCCACCGGCTCTTATAAACACGCCCGGCTTTCATGACAACTAGAACATGCTCCTCGGGCTTGTCAAAGATGGTTACGTTCTCTAAGGGGTTCTTGCTTAGTACCAGCAAATCTGCCTCAAACCCCTCTTTAATCTGGCCGAGACTGTCGCTACAACTCATCATCCTCGCCGGGTTGATAGTCGCACTGCGCAGAACCTCCAGAGGCGAGAGTACCTGCGAACGTAGCTGGAATTCTTGCGTTTGAGCCGCACCCAATGGGCCCAGGAGGTCCGACCCATAACACATCGTAACGCCGGCATCCGATGCGATCTTGAGAGCCCCCAAGCCGGACTCGAGCACCTGGACATTTTTAGTCTGAGACTCCGGAGGCAGGTAGCCCTTCCAACGGTCACTGGCCATCTGAGCATATGCGATGAGCGTGGGGGTCAGGTAGACACCCTTCTCTGCCATCAGCTTCGCAGTGGGTTCATCGACAAAGTTCCCATGCTCGATGCCCCGGACCCCGTTATCGATGCAGTGCCGGATGGCCTTGACAGTGTATGCATGGGCTGTCACAAACGTCCCAGCATTGGCTGCACACTCTACCATGGCTTGGATCTCGGCATCCGTGAATTGGAGGTGCTCCAGCTTATCGGTGGGAGACGCAACACCGCCCGAGCCCATGATCTTGATGAAGTCTGCTCCGCAGCGGATCTCCTCGCGAACGGCTACCATACACTCGGACACGCCGTTGCACATGCGGCCGAGCGAGTTTTGGCTGTGGACTCCGCCGCAGCATCCACCGTGCTCATGCGAGCTTCGTAAATCGCCGTGTCCCCCGAACTGCGACAGAGCATGGCCGGACAGGAAGATCCGGGGACCGGGAAAGACACCATCTTCGATAGCCTCTTTCAAGGCGAGTTGGGCTCCACCACAGTCGCGAATGCTGGTAAAGCCACGATGCAGCATCTGAGCGGCTGAATACGGCTGGCGCAGCAGGTGCACATCGTTGGGATTGCCAAAGGCTTTGCTCAGGTCGGTGAAGCCTGGGACGGCGCACAAGTGAACGTGAGCGTCAAATAATCCAGGGCAGATATAGCGAGCCTGACAATCAATTACAGGTAGGTCGGTCGGTAGATGCTCCCCTTGTGAGATGGACTGAATCTTTCCTTGGCTGATCACCAGCGATGAATTTGCCAGGATCGTGCCAGCTTCAACATCGACAATATTTGCGTTGGTGAAGACGTAACTCTGCGGTGCTGGCTGCAACCAGGGCTTGATGTCAGCACCTGGGACTCGGGTTGTCTGTGTCATGCTTGCGATCTTCGTGGAGGTAGGAAAGAATGTGGCGAAGAGGAATGCAGGAAGGGAGTCTCGCGTGTAGGATTCATGTTATAAGTGGTACCCTCATCAGTCGAAGCTACTGCAAGCCCCACTACTTGCGTCTCAATACCCCTCTTAAGATAACGAATAGAGTGTTGTCGGGATCCTGGCTGGCTGGGGTCAGATTGCCGACCTCCATCCCGACGGCCCGATGTGTATCTCCATCGGCTCTCTGAAGCAACTTTCAAACTGTGAAGAGATAAGGGAATGATTCGCCTTGCACGTGGAAGGCTGCACTTAGGACCCCTCAAGATTCTACGCTTTGTTATGTCAAGGAGGTGGTATCTTGACGAGTGTTGTCTTGACTAGTGTGTATGGTGTTTTCGGATATCTGTCCTGGTGGATTCGTCGGATCGCTGTCCACCAGCTATCGCACTTCTTATCTTCCCCCACAAATGATAAGGCATTGTGGATCCGGGGAAATGATTCATGCATTCTGCACGCTACTTGACCACAGCATATAATAATGAAACTGCCTACTCCACCATCGCTCGACTGTCAATCCCTCTCGACCCTACGATAGCACCAGCAGCAATATTGACCGCTCGACACGGTGCTCATTCTTCCCCCCAATGGATATTCCGAAGGCCCCTTGTGCGGACATCAAGGATGAGGAACGACGAGTCGGTGAGGTCGTTAATATAACGGCAGCCTGTGATCCTGAGGAGGAGAAAGCAGTGCTGCGGAAAATTGACATGGTCATTCTACCATTTGTAAGTAGTCCATCCCCGTCCACTCCCCAGGCTGAAGTTCAATAACCAACACTTCTGAGTTTTAAAGCTTTGCTTCGTTTTCTTCCTACAGTACCTAGACAAGCAGAGTCTCAGCTATGCTGGTGTATTCGGCCTGATGGATGACTTGAACCTGACGAACGCGCAATATTCCTGGTGCAGTTCTATCTTCTATGTGGGACAGCTTGTTTCCGAATATCCCTTCATTTACCTTATGAGTCGACTCCCTCTGACGAAATTTGTTGGAGTCACGGTGTATGTGGTGCTCCACTAGTTTAGCTTACCCTGGCCGTTTCCCAGCCCGCTGACCTTTTGCTGAATGGTAGGATTGTTTGGGGTGGTATGTGTATGTGTCTTGCGGCACCGAAGACCTACAGCGGATTTGCCGCCGTTAGATTTCTGCTCGGCTTCAGTGAAGGCGCAGTCTCGCCAGCCTTTGTCACAATTACATCTATCTGGTACCGTCAAAAGGAGCATACGACCCGCACTGCCCTCTGGATCTCCATGAATGGCATGGCCCAGGTCATCGGCTGCCTGTTGATGTACGGCATAGGCAAAAACACAGCCCTGGCCATTGCCCCCTGGCGCGTTCTGTTCTTAATCTGCGGGGCTATGACGATGGCTGCAGGAGTCTGCTTTTTAGTGCTCATGCCGAGTGGGCCCAACGACGCATGGTTCCTCAACGCCCGTGAAAAAGAAGTTCTCCGGCAACGCATGGCGCAAGACCATGAAGGCGGCGACAAGACGTCTTTCTCTATCCCACAGCTGAAAGAGACACTCATAGACCCTAAGGCATGGTTGGTCTTCTGGTTCGGAGTGCTGGTAACGATGCAGTCTCCTGTCTTGACCTTTGCGTCCCTCGTCATCGAATCCCTCGGCTACAGCAAGCTGGACACGATGTTGTACACAGCGCCCTCCGGTGCCGTCCAAATGGCCTTATTATGGATCGGAGTCGCGCTTGCCTCTATCCTCCCTCGCCAGCGGACACTCGTTGCGCTGATGCTCATCATCCCACCCCTTGTCGGCACCGTCTTTCTGCTGAAGCTCGACCTGAGTGCGGAATGGGGCATGATCGCCATGTCCTGGTTGGTAAGTTGACTCCTTGTCCTGCGTAGCTAGGAATGCCGTTCCGTGCTCACCCTACCATGCACAGTCCTCTTGTATAACGGCCTCCATGTCGATTCTTCTCTCCCTCTCTGCTTCCAATGTGAAGGGCAACACAAAACGTGCCATCGTCAATACAATGTTCTTCATTGGCTATTGCGCGGGATGTATTGGCTCTCCGCAGTTGTGGACTAATCGGCCTCGTTATACTGAGGGCGTCATCACATCTATTGTTACGTGGTGTCTGCTGTTCATCGCGGTGATTATCTACCGCTTGCTGTGCATGCAGGATAACAAGCAACGCGAGGCAAAGGCTTGTACCGACATTGACCCGAGCGGAGGAGATGTGTTGGAGGAGAATGGGCTACAAGCAGCTGACTTGACGGATAAGAACGATCCGTCTTTCCGATATGCCTTATAGATTAGGCTGGGTACTCGATTAGTATGTTATACAATTAGACCTAAGCCAGATAGTGTTTCTTTAGCTACTTAATAATTCAGGATTATCTGGGGAAAGGATGGCTTGACACCCAAGATCGCTCCCCCATGACACTCATGCAGCGCTTTCTCGACGAAATATCGGGTCTAACATTAGTGTAATTAGGGGTTGTACGAGAACCTTTCAATATATACCAGTCTTCACTGTTAGTACTACGGAACGACGAGTAAACCATAGGAGGTATATGGTGGGTATTATATGGCCAAGACAGTCAGGGTACCACGACAGTACATAGTAGTAGTAGTAGTAAGTACTAGTACTAGTAGTACTAAGAAGCGATCTAGACCAGGTAAACTGACCAGGGTTGAGGTTGACGTCACCCAAAGGCAGCTCCCAGTTGACCAGGTTCCGCTTAGAGTTACCAAGTCCAGTTTAGTTGCTCACGTCTCATTCCCATCGACATAACGCCCTTTGCCCCGCGAGATTCGTGTCCCGCAACAACATTGCACTCCGCACACTCTGCACTACTGACGCACCACGATGGCGATCGACCACACTAGCCTCTGTGTCCCCGAAGACAAATTCCAAGAATGCCTCAAATTCTACCTCGAAGCTCTGAAGCCGCTTGGCTATGAAATTCGACATCAATACGGCGAGTTTGTCGTCGGACTGGGATCGGTAGACGAAGACTTGGATAGTTACAAACGTGCCGACTTCTGGGTCTTTGGCACGAAGACGGTACCTGAGCGTTCTATTCATGTCGCATTCGCCTGCCGCAGTATGCATACTCTATTTTCTTGAAAAGATGCAGTACGGAGCGAACCTGGACTGACAATCTCTCGGAAGATCATGCCTCTGTTGACGCTTTCCATGCCGCGGCAGTTCAAGCTGGTGGCAAGGACAATGGCCCTCCCGGCTTGCGAGCATTCTACCATCCCAAATATTACGCCGCTTTTGTGCTAGATCCCGCAGGAAACAATGTCGAGGTTGTGGATCATGGGGTTTGATTGAATGGGGGAATGGCCTGTAATGAAGGAGGGGAGTTAATTGTCGTCCGTGAGCTTACACACGCTGTATTTACACTGAGACCTCACCGATGAGGAAGAGTTGTTACTGATGATGCTTTGATGAGCACCAAACGCATACGATTGCTTTTTGACAACGCCGTTGTTTAGGACTGGTCTTTGGGCTGTATTCAGTCAGTTCTAATAATAATCTGGGAAGACCTTCATATATGCCCCCTGCTGCTGAAACCATCAAGTTCTTTCCACACAAGGATGTCTATTCGTCATAGGAAAGGCTTTGGTCCGTAGTACATTGGACATGGCATGCACCTATCATCTCTGTTATACCGTTCGAGCTGAAGTTCGCTGACCAAATATGACATCCTTTGACTCTGCGTACAACTCCTGACCGCATCTCCTGCCTCAAATCCCTCATACATAATCCAAAAACCACTCTACCCTAACACAATCAACCTCCACTCCCGCTCCCTTAACGAAGTCCAGTCCCGAATTGCAATCCATGCAAACCCCTCCCGGGTGGCTATAGCACCCTTCGAATCCCAAGAGATGAGCATGACGCCGATAGCTCCATTGTCAATGTGGCCAGCATCCCAGCTCCCCCTATTCTGGGCGACGGCAACAAGCTCAACAGTATCGCCTAGCTTTAGCAATGGCGCGACGTGGGACCAGGATACCTGGATGACGCTGTCGGAGCCTTGAGACAGGGTGACTTCCCAGGTAGAGGAGTCGGGGTCTGCGGACACTGCATCATCGGCCGAGTGGCGGCTGGTCACGGTGAGACGAGCGGACGCGGTCCAAAAGCAAAGAAGTGACGACAGGCTGATCTCTAGATCGGCGGGGAGGTCTTTCATGGTGACATCGTGGGGTCTAGACGAGCGATCTGGGAGGGTGGAGCCTTCAACGAGCAGATCGACCTCGCTGTTGAACTTTGCATTCTGCCTCAGTTCCGTCGTTGCTTTCCCGTCATCGGAAACACGATAGAATCGCAGGCCCAGAGCCTCCATGGTCAGGTTTTGATTGGCCAGTTTCGTCTGCCCATCGCTTGTCCACCCAACCCACGACCAGCTGGGAAACTGGCTTGGGTCCTGGGCCAAAGTCTGGACGCCACGTCTCCTTCTTAATGCATGGCTCCGATGGCCCCATGCAAGGGCTGACTCGAGAAACGCGGTCGGCATACCCCAGAAGAACGTCTCGCCGATAGACCGTTCCAACGCGTGGATAATCCCAAGGAAAGCGTTCAATCCATCGCTGTCGAAGGATAATGCCCGACCGGAGTAATCCTCCAGGAGGACCCGATAGAAATGGTCGAAGGTAACAATGTCAGAGTTCCATGAGAGGTTCAGCTCGCCTGCACACAGACTTGTTCGGTGCGGATCTGGAGATATGTTTGGGATCTCTCGAAAGCTGTCCTCACACCAGAAGGCCTCTTCGCATTCCCAGAAGACTTGCTCGGCGGTGAAAACAAGAGACCGCGAAGCCAGGAACCTCTCTTGTAACGTCCAGGCTCGCGTGTCCCAGACCGTCTCCCCGAGATATCCCGCGGCACGGCCTGTGCGAAGATCGACCTTGACGCCGAGCGAGGGGTCAAGGGATTGCACCAATGTGACGTCCCGAATCTGAAAAGGTTCTTGCTCCTGACGTCGTGAGCCAGGTTTGACTCCGGGAAGGGGTGTGTTGGCATCAGTGCAGGTCGAGGAGATAAGAACGACTGTCGCTAACGTGTAGATCGAGTCCATTCGTGAGATGAATCTAGCTTTGTCTTGATCATCATCCTGTACTATGCACAGACTATCGACCCAGAGATACCGCTCCCCAAGCCCCTTGGTAACCTGCAGAGCGTCCTCGGTGATATTAGGAAGAAGATCTGGTGAAAGAGAGCCTGGCTCTGAGAAGGTCTGGATATTCTCCTTCAGGAGACGCAGCGTCTTCGCCCTCCCCCAGACGTAGCTTAAACAGACCCACTGATCATTCTCCTCGGCGATGGTCAAGCACCTGCGCTCAACGTCGATGACCCGCGGTCGGATATTCGGGGTCCCTTTGAAGATTTGGGAGCACTTTGCCCCGTGCAACTCCTGGCACGTTTCCTTCCATCGCTTGAAGAGTGCCAAATCCGCTACTATGGGCCTTGGGCGTCCGGAGTATGGCTGTATTTTGGGAGAAATGCCACCCCCCCAGTGGGAATTCTGACTCGCATCATCAGACGATCCTTCGTATCTCTGCAGAAAGAAGGTCAAGTGTTGCGATTGCCCGGGTTCATTGTCAGCACTAAGCCGTGGAATAGAGCAGCTGACCCTGATGCGATCTGAATGTGCCTTCTTATCGACAGGCCCATCTTCCGCTCGAGCCACAGTATGCCAATCCGTTTCCAGAGACACTACTACGTGGGTTCTGGAGATGTCAAGTTCATTTGTCCGATCTCCTGGATTGGCTGCAACCCAATCTGTGATGATACTAACAAGCCTCCTGCAGAAAACACAGCTCTTTGAGCCACTCAGCAGGGTAGGAAATTCCCTTTGGAAGAAGTAATTGTTACTCGCATATTCAGCAGAATCGTGGAAGCCAACATATTCAAAATCGATATGACGACATATAAAGCACAAGTCATTGGTGGCAGAGCCGTGACCTGCTGATTGACTTGTATCAGAGGGCTGTCGTATACACAGTCCAGCCAGGAAAGGATAACTTACTATTTATATCAGAGCTCGTGCTCAGTCTATCATCTTCAGTTACTGATAGCACTAAAGATCTGGAGGATATCGAGGGCGCAGCTATCGAAGACATGGCTATATTATATGACGCACTCAAGGACATCAATCACAAGCGAGAATCAAAGACATCATCTGGCACTGGGGGATTTCTGCAACCATTTAGCTACTAATAAGATCAGGGTTAAGCGGTGGTTGACACCTCTCCATTGGTTGTTGGGGTGTGGATAGGCGTCAGCGCTAAAAACACCGGTCCACAGTGCCATTCGATGCCATTGGGGACATGGACGTATTCTCGTGTCCTGTGGTCTAGACTACAGTGCTAAGAACACGACGGCTTGGCTTCCTCACTAGCCAATGACGGCTTCAGGTAAGATGAGAGGGAAAGAAAAAGTGAGTGACTGTGTCGTAAAGCTCGACGTATGTTGTGTGGTTAGTGTGTTGAGACAATTATTCTATTAGAAAAGATAGTATAACGAACCAACCAAGGCTAGTACAGTAATTATATAGCAGGAATGAGCAAGGAGCCGTGGGGTATCATGGGCAATGCAATGCAATGTGCAATTTTTGGAGGCGCGACATGTGGAGATGGTTGGCGCTATATCATGACATGGCGTGGAGCGGAAGTATGTACTGGGCACAGCCCGAAAGGGTACTTCAGTTCATTATAGATAATGTATGACCGTTGGGATTGTCCGTAAGCCCGCCAATAGCGACAAATGAAAACACAAGGAAGGCTATCGACATCTTCTTCAAGGGGATCGCCTTCTGCCGCGGCTTGAACTCGCCTCGGCATTGTTACGCTCTGGGCTGGTGTACAGAAGACGGTCACTAGAGAGGGCATGAGGCGGAGTCTGGATTGACCCGGCGATAGTGATAAAGGTACCAGAGGATTTGTCGTGGGTAGATGGTAGACATTGATCGGTAGCGGAAGGGTGATCGGGGTCACTGGTCTGGAAGGAATAATCTTCAGTGGAGAGGTGCAACGATGTGACCTGGTTGAGATGCAGCGGGCTCTGGACTAAATTAACCAATTTATTCAGAACGGCAAATTCCATTTTCAGCTTCACACTGGCTGCCATGGGGCCATAGCCCTGTTTCACTTGATCATGGTTTGTGTGATCCAAGACCACCAGGACCGCAGCCGAGACCAGCACAAAGACGTTGAAGATGGTCAATTCGCGTATCACTCGGCGGCCCTCGTGGCCTTTGGCGTCCAGAATAGGTTTGAGATTTCGGAATGCAACCCAGAGATAAACGCCTGATATGAACACTTCGCGTGCGCACGAGCAGAGTATAACGAAGTGCTCGTAGTTGCGGGCGAAGGATGCCAAAGCGGGTCTTGCCGAAACCCCCTTGCACTCCTTGATGAGGTTTATAATACATAGAGGAAGATGTAGGGTACAGGTGGTAAAGATGATGAGGAGTAGCACGTATTGTGGAGTCCTGTCCATGGTCACCAGGTGAAGACGGGCGTAGAGAACCATGACGCTGCCGGTGACCATGGTAAGGAACCCGAGCGTGTAGGTGATAGATATAAAGGCTGGCGGCCCCATGTTCGCTACCGAAAGGACCACGGCTGTCGCGAAGATGATGATACCCCATGCGGTCACCAAAAGGCTCCAGAAGTAACAGCCGCGGTAGCGTCTGAAAAAGCTGAAGATCCAGTAGAATAGCTCCACGGAATTGTAGGCGGCAATGGCCAGGAGGGGAATGGCTGCCAGAGCGGTTTCGCGGTCAATGACCGGAGGCTCTGTCACCTCGGACATTTTAGCTCGACGTGTCAGGCATTGGAATCAGTGAATTATCTCTGGTCTCGTGGGCACAGCAAGGAAGCAGTGGTCAGATCAAGATAGAGTGCAGAAATGCCGCTATAAGAATGATAGGTAAGCCCGCCATATAGGGCATGACAAAGAGGCTCTGATCGTGAAAGCCAAAGTGGCACTGAGCCAATCTAGGGCCGGGCTCCGAGGACCTTCAGGCTTCAGCTGCATGACGATCGGAGACCATAGGAATTGTTTGACTCCACATGGCAACACGGTCTGAGCCTATTTACCATGGTTCATTCCATGCCCCGTTCTCTCACCGAAAAGCGTGTACCGAGCGAAGCGCCGGAAATTAGTCCTATTCTGCGAGTAGTTCTGCACTCAAGGTACGACATCACTCTAGTTGGTATGCATCATATTCCAAATAGCTGATTGATAGATGACAAAAGCTCTAGAGAGATGAGCATATAAACGCCAATGCATGCAGGATTCAGGACTAATCCAACACCCTTCTATTACCCAAACGAATCCTGCATCGATGTGTTGGGTTGATTGGAGGCTCCTCAGATAGTCACCCGGGCTGGATCAAGCTCACAGGTAGATCATGCAGGGTTCACCTCTTACTCCTCTCTCGATAAAATCTCCACAGGGTCTAGGCCGCCAATAAGCCTGGGCTAACAACATCGACAATAAAGAAAACAGAGCCAGGGTAGGTTGGAGAAAGTCAGATAGGTCATATTTTGGCTTTTGGCCGTTGGCTCGGTGGCGTTTCGTAGTCCCCGACGGCGTGCCGGAAGCAGCATCCGCCATTAATCCTCAACGCTGATCGAACAAAGACAAGTGGAAATTGAGTTTGACAGCTTGACCATCGGGTTTCTTCGGACGTGAGGTAGGGTCGATTAGGTCACCGAGGACATTCCAAGTTCAAAAGCAAGACCTATACAGGTGAGTTGATTGTCACCTTATGACGGACAGCTCGGGGATGTTGTGTGCTGATCCCTTTCCTTCCATGCCCCTTTCAGCCCTTAGGTGTGTCGCACTCCATGGGCCATACCAAGATAAGTAGGAGAACTCTGTTCCGGGGCCAGGACCCGCTGTGGAGCTGGCCTTGCTCGTGCCCATCAGCTGGCTGTCCGGCGAGATCCGCTTCGCCTGTATCCACGACCTCATTGTCTACCCCGTAACGAGTTCTATATTTGATATATTCGCCAGTGCTGCCCAACCTTGGCCCATTCTCGTTAATATTGCACTGTGCAAGGAATGGTGCTATCCCAGCAGAATGGCTCAGCTACCCCTGAAATGAGCTGTGTGGCAAAGAGGAAAACTTTAGGTTGGTTCGCAACACTCTCTCCGCAGTGGTCACTGACTTGGGCTATTTATTCTCTACGATCCAGAGTCGCACTATATGGAACGGTGAAGACTTTTCATTCCCATCCAGAATGCGTACGCGATCTTCTCATGGAATTTGGTGTTGAGGTTCTGGGCCCCTTCGCCGACACAAGAAAATATCCTTCTGATGCCGTACTCTCCATGTTTGACCTTTCTATAGAATCTACAAAGAGGTGGATTCTAAAATTATTTGAGTCAAAATTCTACTATATGTTTCTCTACCTAGCGGCTACTGAAGAAGTCTTGAGACTGGCTTAATCCGAGGTATATTCGTGGCAACGTCGATGATGTCAGACGGGCACAATTTGACTATTAGCATTTCTGTAATGGCAAGAATGATGCATCACGACGACCGTCAGATCCAGCAACAACATAGAGTGTGATATCAGTGCTCAAGCAGTGGCTGATATGTACACGGAGGTTCGTTGGCCACACAACTATATATGGCCAGCGTACCCAACAAAAGTCTACTCAGCCGGAGGGAGAGCCCGGCGACCCAGCTGTGATCCCTGTGCTCTGCCCCATGTCCACTCGCTAATGGCACTGACATATGTGCCATTTTGAAAGTACATACGCAGCTCAGGCCCTTCCCAGCTAATTATCGCGATTTCCGAGCCTTGAATGACTGGTGTAATGGTTCCCTTGTTGTGATAGCCTTGGCCGTGATCCCAACACACTTGCCAGATCGTGTTGTCAGAGTTGACAAAATAGATCCGCATGTGAATACTACTTTTGCCGGGATCAAAGTTGGTGGCTGCGATTGCACAGCGAGGAGGTGCCTTGTCAAAGATGGTAGTCAGTTCCTTGTACCATCCGGTGTGAGGGTCATATGCGCGCTGGACAAGCTTCAAATCGTCGGTTTGGAACCAGATCCTATGCGTAGGGAAATGGTTAATAAACCTTTCGCTCAGCAGATAGGTCTTGCGTGACTGTACCTAATGCTTGGACCCTCGTAATCGGTGTAGCGCCAGCAAGTAACTCCGATACCAGTGCCAGGAAGCGCAACTCCAAGGTTGGTGCCTTCCTTCCAGCCGTCCCCTATCGCAGATGTTAGAATACCATCACCGACATTGAGTCATCTGGATTTTCGTTACCATTCCACATATACTCTTGGATTGTGTTATCATTCTTCTGGGCATAGACCCGCAAATGCAGAGCATTCGTTCCTGCCAGAAAAACGGCTCCGATTCGAGAGTAAGGGGCAACGGTGAACTTGGCACCAGCCAGCCCACCACTGTACCATCCGCTGCCGCTATCATAGGCAGCTTCCTGGAGGATATTGTCCTCAGTCAGACTGTAAACACGAATCTTGAAGGTCGTTAGTTTGCAGAATATCCTAGATATAACGCTTGACCCACATTATTCAGCTCCTTGGATGTCGCAGCCAGGGGGGTACCGAGCTTTGCCTTAGCGATAACATTCTTCGATGTACCATTGGCCCATCCACTCTCATAAAGGCTCTCGCGAATACTACCGTGAGAGTCCTGAAAGTAGACACGGAGATGGCTGGTGGAGTTAACCGCAGCGATTCCGGTACCTGTCTCTGTTAACATCGAAGCTGTCGTATCTCTTGTCCTTAACTTACGGAAAAGAACTTCTTGGGCACCAGGAGTCGACATTGCTGCTGATGGAAATCTCCTTGATACTTAGAACGGTGTTTCTCTGAAGTCTGAGTGTCGTTGGTTAAATTTACTCCTCTTCGAGGCGGATAACCCGGGCTTTTTATGTTCAAGAGCAGGCGGGTTGCAGCAACTATAGCCTATGCCCATCACTTTCTGTCTCGTTGCGTATCCTACTCGGTTGACCTTCCATCACAAGCAGACTCAGTCCATACTCGCACTGTTGTATTTCCTCAACCCCGCAGCTGGCTCTTAGTTGCATGCGTCAAATACTCAATTGGCTAAGTCTCTGCAATGCATGCAAGTGGCTGGCTGAAAATGCCACCTCTTGGTCGAAGGGATCAGGATTCTCGTTTACCATGGTCAGATGCAGAGGTCAATTGTTATGGTATATCATGCTCTAATGATTTACCTCAAAGTAAATCAAATGCCATTCTCGTTTTTTTGCGCTCCATCCTTGGTGGCCGTACTCATCCAACTAGTATAATTATAACCGATTGCTCGTAACCCTGCCTACGTCATCTAACTTAACTGTATGCTCACTTCGCTGTGCGACGTATATTTTTGGTTCTCGTCTCGTCGTCGAGCTCTTGCTGAGAGTTCAATTAAACTTTCATGCTCTTTACCTGCTATCATGCCATGTAGTGCAGCTGATCGGCTCTAGCCTTGTTTTCGACGCATGGCCGAAGAATATAGCTCAGTTACGTGGCGTGGCCTGTACATTCAGAGTTATTTGCGGGCATTCTCCGCTGGCAACAGCACGGTATGCGTCATACAATCCGGAATTCATATGTTCCCTAGTACGAATGAGATTTCCCGGACGGCAGATGCATTAAATTTATCTAGGGACAGTTATTGCAGAGTGCACTGACCAAACTAAGCTAGGTGCTGCAGGATCTTGTCACTATTACTCACGGGCCTGTTGGCGATGTCTCACGTTATTGCTCGATAGCCTGTTAGACAAACTTATATAATATATAAATTATCTAACTCATTAAATGTTCAAGGTTCAACAGTCTGGATTGGTCTTAGGGAGCGAGAACCAAGCCAGAGTAGAGCAAAGGGTCGACAACCCCATGCTGTCGTAGGCTAGATGAACTTAGCCCAAGGCCTAAACACATGTATACTCTTGCTTTACCTTTCTATGATTCGGTCCCGCCTGTATGCACCAGCTGCAGGAAGTCTCCACCGTAGTGTAATCGGCTTTAGTACGTGTACAACTCCACACTAGGTTTCTCTTCTCCAAGTCGCTAAGGCCATCGCCTCCAGCAACTGAACTTCTTTTCCCACCGGCAACCATTGCCTATTTGATATTTCCATGGACAATATAGTATAGCCAGCCACTGTCTCAGCTGTCAAGAAATTATACGAGAATTGGAAGTCTGGTGATCCGATAATCCTCTCCACATGGCTATTTACACAAGGCTCAGCTGTCTTCAGTCTTTATGCATGATGAGTTGTACTCGAATGACGGCCCGTTCCGACTGCCATTATCAATTCTGATCTCATCTGCCGCTATGATCCATTACGCTACCCTGCTAATGACAAGCTATCAGCCAATAATATAATCTCCGTACGTCCGGGAAAATAAGTCAAAGAACTACTGCAGCTTGCCCCGCTTTCACCCTGGCCGGATGGGAGTGGACGTGCGTCCGGCGTGTAACTGTTGTTGGCGTTGGTGGTGCTGTAGTGGCTGGCCGGGATTCTGGTGGGGTCCATAGTCTGCTGAAGAGGAGAGAAAATAAGGAATGGAGGCCACAAGCTGTCAGAGAAGCTGTTATTTAACTGAAAGTGGGAAATTATCAATCACCAGTCAATCATGTGATCTGCCTTGCCCTGTCATCATACAACGACATTGGTCAAGTTCTAATTCCTAAGGCATAGCAACTTCTTAAGAACTCAAATGAAGGACAAGGTATACAGCGATTCGGCGGTCTATTCACACGATAGCTGGGCCTAGACCATCAACGGACACTGCAGATAGCTTAGAGAGATGCATGGTTAGACACCCATTAATGACTGGCCACTAGGATCTATGCACTCAAACTAACCTGGGAAAGCTCTAGTATTTTTCTGACATCATTATTCTTCTAGACCTTGAGGTAAATTGTAAGGTTATTATCTATTCCACGCGGTTTCTCGCTTTTGATCTTTCCATGGTACCAAACCTGCAGCAACAGAGATGTTCGACTGCCATAATCTGGCAGAGTACTTTCTACTTTTCCGCTTCCCTCTTTCTCTGTTTTATAGTCTTTTGCATCTAGCCTCAATAGGTCAGAGAACCCCCAGTATCGCTGACTACACCAATAACCCCGCCTAGTTTGGCTGTTATTGGAACAAAGGTAAAGTCCATCTCTTCAAACACTTAACCAACATGATTTACTTGACGGGGAAATCCGATGACACATTGACCACAATGGCCTGCAAAGTCTTCTCAGCATTTACAGTCTGGTTCTTATGCAAAGAGGACTCAAGGACTTCATCCTAATATCATATGCTCGGTAGGGACGCCAACCACTCATTGATAAACAGCCTGGCTGGTGCAATATTGAGAATTATAATGTCTCTAAAATCTCGGGATGATTGAATGACTATAACTCTTATTGGACACCCACAGTGCTTGGGAGTAGTAAGATAGATAGATAAGATTCACATCTGGAATTACCTCGAAAGATATCACTGTCCTCATACGAACGCCGTGGAGTTCCCAAAGACTTGGTATGCATAACACCCATAGCTAGTACACACATGGCCGGATGTAAGTCGAAGTGATATAGATAACATTATCAGGAAACAAACTGCTCTTCACCAATGGTGAAGCCAGAACTTTTCCGAGAGCCATCTCCGTGAAGCCCCTGCTTGCAAGGAATACCAGTGTCGCCTTGTCGATGTGGCTAACATGCGCGTATTTTTATTTTGCCCTCGAAACTATCATTGTAGTCAATATAAGGCTACCTGTCTCTAAAGTTTTAAACTGAAGAAGCGAAACCAATTGCCATAAATAGGCGATATTTGAGTATAAAAGTTGTTGTACTAAATAAAGATGAATGATCGACGGAGCACGTGGTCAGTGCGCGGCAGCTGACGTGACGTTTTCGGGGGAGCTTCGATTCAAGTAGAGATTCTCTTGCCTTTACCCTTACTTCATCGCTTGCATTCCACTTCCCCTCTTCACATCCACTCTACCTTCCCTCGAGACCGATAGATTTGATTTGCAAATATCGTCGACAATGTCTCTACACTAAGACTGTCCACCTCAACCGTCCCCTGAAACCAATACCTTCCAGTCGCAATGGTATCCCTGTGGCCTTTCAAAGTATGTCCGCCCCGTGGCTGCCTGTTCCTCCAATTCGCGAATAACCACTAACCAAAGAAACCATCTCTTCGTTTAGGGAGAAGATAACTCCCCTGCATCCTTTGAAAGGGCGCTCGAAACTCTCTCTGGTAAAATCACCCGCGCGAACACCCGTCTCGACACTCACCGCCAAAATGCCCGCCGCTTCAAGGCTCTGTGGACGTTATACACCACATTTGCATACCTACTCTACTCCATCATACTCGCTCTAGTGCTGGGATGGCAGAATTTCGGCGTCGTCGAATATGCTGCCATTGCAGGAGGCCCCCTTGTGTACGCCAAATCCCTGAATAACCCTCAACCCCCCTTTTTCAACTGTCTAATCCAGGAGCAGGATCTACGCCGTTCGCGCCGCAGGCAGCAAATACTTCGAATACCGCATCAACAGCAACCAACGATACCTCGATGATCTCCAAAAGCAACGAGACGAAACCATTGAGAAGCTCAAGGTCGCAACAAAGTATAACTCAACCCAGCAACTCCTAGAGAAGTACGGGGCTGCCCCCAAGCGGACGAAATCGAAAAGCGGCGACGACAAGCGCAAATCGGAATCGAAGCGCAAATCTTCAAACCCCCAGCAACAACAACCGCCCGTGCAACGGACCGGCCTTCCCCCTCCCCCGACCGCAAATATTCGCCGTCCGACTCCTGTCCAGTCTCCTGGTGCTCCCTCCCCCGATTTCCATGCGCCGCCTTCTCCGTATCCCCCTCAGCCCCAGATCCAACAACAACAACCGGTCGCTCCTCCAGGGGCTGCATTTGATGAGCCGGGTTTTGCACCCAACGCATTTCCAAGTGCGCCACAGTATATCGAGCAGTCACACTGGTATGATCGTCTCATGGATGTCCTCCTTGGGGAGGATGAGACTCAACCGAAGAACCGGATCGTCTTGATCTGCAACTCCTGTCGGCTTGTTAACGGCCAGGCGCCTCCGGGTATCAAATCATTGGAAGAGCTCGGTCGCTGGCGGTGTGGAAGCTGCGGCGCATGGAATGGAGTCGAAAGCGAGGCGAAGAAGGTCCTTGATGACATCCGGAACGAACCACAACCGGCAGACGGAGCCTGGGAACCGGTTTCGAAGACGGATGCGGAGAACCACTCATCGGTTGGTGATGTGACCGATGAAGGCGTCATGGTAGCTACCAGTGAAGATGACCAGGTTGAGTCTCACGACTCCGATGCCGACACGGCAGACAAGGAGCCAGAGCAGGTCGAGGAAGAGCAGCCAGAGCCCGAATCGAAGACAAGGCCAGTTCGGAGGAGTAACAGGAAGAAAGCATAAGCATTGGCGTTCTGTATACATAGTTTTCCAACTTTCGGGTGGGTTTTTCTATTCTTTGTAGTGCATATTTTTACTGTGCCCAATTTATCTTGCGATGGGATTTGTTGCTTTCTTATGGGAGATTCATCTTCATTTCTATCTATCCGGTTGAGATTCGACTTGGGACTTGCTAAACACAAGACCCGTGCATACAAACACATTCTTTATACCAAATCTCATGACATCGTGATCATTGTCACATTACATGGCAGCATTTCACATCACGGTGTCATTGCCGCACATTGCTGTCGCATAAGTATCACCCATTGGTGCATAATGATTACCTCGTCGTATAACTATCGCATCGTTTAATCATTCACCATCCTTTGTGTCACCACGTCTACAGCACATCCCCTGCTTTCCCAGTCCCTCATCAACACATACCATCGTCCCATAGAGCGACCATCAGCCATTCAGTCAGTCAGTCAGTCAACCAGTCAGTTGCTCAAAGGGGCCGGACTGGCTGGTTGACTGATCAAATAACTTCCTGGCGACGCTGCAAGAACTCAATCGTTTCAATAGCAGCCCTTACCTCGGCCTCTTCGCCACACAGACAGCCCTCCACGAGAACAATCTGGGCATCGTCCATGGTAACTGTGCACCGGTACGTGGCGCGGCCTTTCTCATCCGAGACGCGCCTCAAATTGAAAAGCGCGTCCCCCTTCGACAGCCGCTGCGCGATGCTTCGAGGGTGAGTCACATTGGTTCCAGCTGACAGGACGCGTCTGACATAAGACAGCAGGCCAATCCGCTCGAGGAAGCATTCGCATGCAGACAGGTCACCACCTGAGTCAACGAAAATGGCTCCAAGGACGCTTTCCACGATGTCGGAGAAGAACTTGTCTGCGTAGAGTTGGGAGAGAGATTGCCAGGGGTAATCAGGGCCGTGGTAGAGGGAGGCGAGAATTGTGTTTCTGAGTCTGCGGTGACGGTTTAGAGCTGCATCGCGGGAGTTTTGCAGATCGAGACTATTGAATCTCATGAAGCGCCACAGCTCGACATGCTTTGTTTCGGACTTGACGACGAATCGGCCATCAGGAGTCCGTTCGACTTTAGTCTTATCTTGTTCGATGGAGAACTCCATGCAGAAGAAACCGAGCAGGTTCGCATTCACTACTGCATGTTTGATGAGGGTCATGTCTCCTGGTGAGATTTTGTTGGAGTATTGGAAGATGGTTGGGACAATGACCATGTCGAGAATGGCATCGCCGAGGAATTCTAATCGTTGATAGGACTGGGTGGATTGGTCGTGCTGGCAGGAAGGGTGGGTGAGAGCCTCGATCAGAAGATCCTCGTTCGTAAAGGTGTAGCAAGGTGACTTTGCAACTCGCTGTCTATGATGTGGCGCGCAGTTCGCCCAGGCTCTGTTTGTGAGGAGATAGACGGGATGTCCAGGAGCTGTCTATTGATCTCTGGAAGAAAACAATGCGTGCATATCTGAGCTTTGGAGTAGCCGCCGTCTAAATAGGCGGCTCCGATTAGTGCCTCGACGACGTCCGCCAATACCTTGGCTGACATCTGTCGCTTGACAGAGGCAGCACCTAAACTTGTGGATATCAGTGGTGCAATCCACCGGCGAGGAGTGAGCGACTTTGTCATAATGAAAGCATCCAATCCAGCATCCAGAGCAGCCCTGGTGAGCCGTGGGTTTTGGACAATAGCGGTGCGACCTTCGGTGAGGAAGCCCTCTGGCCAGTTGAGGTTCTGAAAGAAAAGCTGGCACGAAACAAGGTACTTCAGAATTGAATCTCCGAGAAATTCATATCGCTGATAGTTCGTCACTCCTTGAGCCGATGGTGCCGTGATGGCCGTGATAACATGCTGAATGTTCACGAAGCCGACATCACACAGAATGGTTGCGCACAGCCTGTTTGCGATCAATGTACTCCCAAGTCTGTCAACAATATGTGGGATAAATAAGCCAAATATGGCTGTGGACACTGGTAGCTTGCCGACAGTGCAATTTTTGGCAGCCACCGTATGCACCCTAGCAGAACCAGGTTCCGACCCAACAATGGCGTCGACATGACCGTTATCTAAAATTAGCGGATGCAAGAAGTTCCGCCGACGCGGGATAGGCCTGCATTCTATCTCAATCAAGCCAGCTTCGGACTCGATCCACCTATGGCAGAAGAACGGCTCGTCGTAGCGCGAAAGGTCCCGGATTATTCCCACCGCACCGGGCATAGCGCCCCGGGAGTACGCCTCATGAGCAGTTTCATGTCCTGCGTTTTGAATAAGCCAATCGGTCAACTCGGTACTCGGTAAATCAGGCCCAAATAGGGTCACAAAGTCATCATTACCCAACAGGTGTCGGCTGCGGGGTGCTTGAAGGTAAAGCGCAGTGGCTGTCCGTAAGTTCGTGATGCAATTAGCGGTCACTGTCGAAATACGCTCTGGGACATCGAATGATAATGTGAGAATGGTATCGCGATCCCAGAAAAGAGTCAATGGAGCCAGTGGAGGCAAGTTTGTCGGTCCGATCAGCTTCATGATTAGCCCATCTGTTGGGTGTCCGTTGCTTTCCAAGCCTATACGCATCTGATGTATATCCGGACATGACCACGAGTTTGCCCATTCTGTCCAAGGGTCATGCTGCTCAGATACGTCTAATAGCGCGGGCAAGGTGGTGTGATCGTTCGGCCTCATCTCGGGGTTTTTCGTTAATGGGAGAAGATGGTCGTTCAGAAGGCCAAATTCATAAAGAGCCCGGTATGCCTGGAAAGCTGTTTCTTTAACCGCTGCACGCTCAGTCTTCCACCAAAGTTTTCCCTGGATGCGACGAACTTTGGGGTGCACGCAGCTAGGCAGGATCACCGTGCCTTTGACAAGGCCGAGTCTATCCTTCTCGAACGAGAACTCCGGCCTGTTGTCAACATACCGTTCCTCGGGAAGCACGGCGCAGAAGTGGTAAAGATGTGTGACGACTGAATCCGGTGTGATGACGGCGCTGTGACGATATTAGAAAGGCAAAGAATCATTACTTTCAGAGGAGACTATACCCGGTAGCTTCGACGGTGATCATCTCTGGCACATTTTCATCGACTGCCTCTTGCGCTTCTGCCTCACGGAGCAGCCTCTCTTCGTCTTGATAAGCTTCGACCATAGCCTGCTCCAGAACCTGCCACTTGCGTAAATCGCCGTGCTCATCCACTGTGGAGAACATGATAGCGTACGTTGACTTTTTCTGTCGTGCTCGACCGCGCCTTTGGATGAAGGATTTCAGATTAGCGGGTTTGTCAAAGCATACGACGACACGGCAGGCCGTGACGTCGATCCCTTCTTCTAAGACACTGGTCGTGACAATCAGATTTTTGCGCCCGCTTCGGAAGTCGTCCATGGTCCCGCGCTGCTTCTTCGTGTTGTGCCAGTCGCCCACCATGTCCTGGCGACAATTGCTATTCGACATGCCAACATAGGCTGCGCATCGGAATCGGTCCCTGGTTTTGGGGTGGAGGGAAAGTAAGCGGGCCAGTACGCTCACGGTTACTCTTTGCTGTACAAAGATCAATCCCGAGAACTCGGGGTCGTCGTATTTTTCGAGGAAATTTATCAACGCTGCGAGTTTTGGTGACATCGGGAAGTGGTTCAGATCTGCAAGTTTGGCCTGGACCTCCGCGACTGGAAGCTTAGACAAGAAGTTTGAAAGATAGGCTCTCTCCTCGTCTTCCCAGTCCAGGGTCAAAGACTGATCGCGAATCGTAGTGCGCAGCTGCTCTACGGATGTGCAGATGTAGTAGTCTGCTGCCCACTCTCCCAGTTCTGTGAAGATGTGACGGCTGCGGTCCACAAAGCGTTTGATTTGCTCATTGCAGAGGGTCTTTCGTATCATCAACGCTTTGTACTCCCCGCTCCCGTTTGACAGGTTGTCGTTCTGTGGTATAGCGTCTGGATCTTCGTCACTGTCCGCCGTATCCCACGCATGCTCCAGGGCTTGCAGAGCCCTGCCGCCAGGTCCTTCATCTGTGGCTTTGTAGATGATGGGCAGTAACTCGGGTCTGTGGGAATACGTGGTGAGTTCTTGTTTGTGGACTTGCGGAGTTTTGCAGATGGAGTCGAGATTCGACTCTAAAGTTCTGTGCAAGGGTTCTTGGCGTTAGTTCTCTAGCCAGGCAAAGAGAATGATGGGGCTGTGTTTTTCCCTTACTTCATCTCCTGACTCTTTGACCTGACCACTGGACTAGCCGTTAGACCCAAAATGCAAGGGACGCTGTCTCTGCCGTGCTTTCGCAAGGTGGGATGATAGAAATCAAACATAATCATGTTCGCCGGATGTCGTCGCATGCAATGATGAGCTACACCATCAGCAATCTCAACACCTACATCGAATCTCAAGAACAACCGAACTACCAACCTTCGTCAAATATGAGCAGACCTAACTGGGACATCCGGACAAACCCATGAGTCAAGGCCTCGAACAAAACCGCATGAGTCGATACTACCACCTGTTTATCTTTCAAAAGCTCATCCCAGATATACTGGCTCTTCCAGCGCTCAACCTTGTCCAGCCCTGTGATCGTACAAGCTCTCACGGCCGGGAGATGACTGCGGATCACCTCATACTGCTGAAAACACAAGGCCACAGTCGGAGTCAAGAACCAGGTCAACTGCACCCGCGACAAAAAAAGAGAAAGAGAGATCAGTCAATGTCATCTGAACCAAAAAAACAATAAAACTCACCTTCCGTGATCCACCACCCTCCAACTGATGAGCAATCCGTAAGAGCGCACTAGAGCCATTCAATCAAACCTACCCAAAACCAAAAGTGGGTAAAGCAAAGCAAGCCCACCACACCCTTCACCCGACAAGAAAAGGAAATCAAAAGATAGATCTCACACACATCTGAGTCTTCCCCGTCCCGGTATCCATCTGTCAAATCTCATCAGCAACGTATTCCACACAGAGAACCCCCAAGGAGTAAGAAAGATGAAGAACATACAGCAACAATGATATTCTCCTTCAAACTAGCCTCAAACATCTCATACTGGTACTGTCGAGGTTTATACAGCGGTCCAGCGCCATTTGATCCGTTAAGCTGAGCCATAGTTCCCCGACGAGCGTAGCGTAGGGTATCGTATTGTAGTATGGCGTGATATAGTGTAAATGCAGTGCAGTAGTGTATCAACAGTGTAGAGTAAAGTGATGCAGCGTGGAGCAGTGTACAAGCACACCAAGATCTCACTCCGCAAGAACACAGATAAAACCTCAACTCACGAACAAACACATTCCCAAAAAGATACCCACAACTCTAAATAAAATTATGAACAAAAATGCAAAGAACACCAGGGTATGTTAAACTCAGGAAACGAAGAGGAGAAAGTAAACAATCAGAAAGTGGGACTGGTGCTGGAGTCCGTCCAGGTAAGGCTGTGTGGCGTGTATGTGGGTGGGGTAAATCGAATTAACAATGAATATATGGTATAGGCTAGTTATTCTGCTCTGTCTATCTTATCGCGTGGTTCATGGCCGCGACTTGGTAGGTACATACTAGGGATGTTGACAGGGGTTCTGGTTTTGGTCCTTTTGTTTTGTTTGAATTTTTTTTATGTTATTTTATTTCTGGGGTTTGGGCTTTTGGTTTATTTTTGTTCTTTTTTATCTTGACGATTTAAAGGGACTAGTTGAAGCTTATTATAGATTGCATCTGGTAGTTACCTGATATTGGGTCGGATTTGGATATCCTTATTTTTACTTGGTATTTGCAGAGTCTTGTTCGGGTTTCGTTTTCTTTTTTTTTTTTTCCTTTGCTCAAACGGACATGTTCTTGTACGATTGATGAGTAGTACATATAAGAATATGATAGATGTGTTGAACAGTAACTATAGAAAAAAAGGTACCAAAGGGAGGACTTCGCAGTCTAACTGGTCAATGTATTTATCGAGTCAATCCACACCCGGTCAAAAGTAGTATTAGACGGCGGCCTTCTGCCCTTCGCACTGGCGTTGGAGATCCAGACACAACAGAACACCACCCCTTCCAAAGCCATTAAATAAAAGAAAACGTAACAGCATCACGCCATACGCCCAAGCATAAAAACGGGATAGTACAAAGAAAAAAAGTGCGAGACAAAAAACAATCAGCATCAAAAGCGATAAACACCGGTATCCGAAGGTAGCACAAGGGTCAGGAGCTTGAAAAAAGGACAACAGCTGAATGCGATCATGAGACCATAGGAAGCCCATGTGTGGGTGGCTCCGTCTTTGTCACTTCCGACTCAGCTTGAGTCTCATCAGGGCGCGTCCGACGGCTCGCAAAGGTATTGCCAAGGTAGTTAGCCTCGTCGTTGGGATGCTTGCGCATCCCCAAGCCGGCCACGGCTATCCGGTTCAGAGAGTTCATGTCATCGTTGGATGCAGTACCTTGAGGCGGCTGCGGTTGTTGAGCTGCCGAGGGCGGCGCTGGCACTGATGAAGACGTCGTCGCAGACCCAGCACCGGGTTGCGGTACATTCAAGTCGGTTCGTGGCTGGCTCAGGTCGATGTTTCCTGGGAGCTCGGGCACCTCGCCTTGGGATTCCAGAAGTCGCGACTGGAGATTGATGATGTACTCGCGCAACTGATAGTTCTCCGCCTGTAGCGCCTTGAAAGCCTCCGACATGGTATCGAACTCCTTCACCTGCTCCTCCAATTTGCGAATGTAACTTTCTTTCCGCTGGCGGAATGCTCGCTGTTTCCCCCGTCAGCAAGGTCCCCAGCGCAGGGAGATTCCCAACGTACCTGTGCAGCGCGGTTCTGCGCTGCGCGCTTGGAGGTCGACAACGGTCGCTTGCCGTATGTCTTCGGGCTCTCTTGGCCCGTAGGCTCCGGCTGCGGAGGCGTTTGCGGCGGGCCGCTGAGCATCGCAGCACCTGATATCGCGGGATCAATGTTGTTCTGGTCACGAGGGCTTGTCGTATTGGGCTGCATGTGCGGTGGCTGCGCGGCAGACGGCTGTGGACGCGGTTGCTGCGGATGCGATAGGTGCTGATGGGCCGCTAGGAGCTGATCATGGAGCACTAAATTCAGGAACCAACGCGCGTCAGCATTTCCGCGCACGTACTAGGGAATATCAGTAGATCCATAGCTAGAGATCCCTGATCAAGGCCGCTTCACAACACGCGATGCACGAGTAACAATCTTCGTCTTTTATTTGATTTCCTTTGTTTTCGGGGGTCTCTTGACAAGCAATACAATGCGACACTTACCCTGATCCGCATGGTCCTAGAGATACAATTAGTCTATGCGATGATTTCATAACCTGTACGGTACTTGAGGGAACGCGACCGCGGAGGAGCTTCTCGTGACAACAAGTAGGATGATATCGGGTCGACTCCCCCGGGTGGACGCGAATGAAACCAGGCGCCGAGAGACATCGCGAGACATAGCTCGAGTCCCAATACATCTCTCGGATGGGAGTGGTGGGCAATGGGGTACAGGGCGATCTGATGACAAACCGTAGGCTGCTTACCTGAGCAGATGTTTGCATGCTTGGATGCGGCGCTGGAGCTAATGTAGGCTGCATGGAGAGTATGGAGGTTCAAACACGAAGACGCGCCGAGAGAGACCGCAAACGCGCACGTCCACTCAAACTCAACCAAAGGGAGGTTCAGATAGTTCGAATTGAATCCACGGTCTTTCACAGTGGACCAGTGATGAGGTTTGTAGAGGAATTGGAATGGAGAGACGCGCGATGAGGTAAGCAGCAGCAGTACAATAGTTTAGTTTAGCTATCGGGGTTAGCCAAGGCGATGATGATTCAGCCGCTGTCAAAATAGTTTTAGTTTTTGGTAGTGAACTAGGTGTATTTTTGCTGACTGATGAGGATGATCTCGTAAGCAGGGGGAAGCGTGAACTGGGGACGTTGACTAAGAGAAAAATGAGGGAGGGAGAGAAAGACGGCGGATTAGTTAAAAGATCAGTCAGACCGTGCGTGACGTGGGCGGGAGGGAAAATGAGGAACGCTGCCGTGGAAAACCTGAGGCAGGAACCTAACCCCCCAATTCGGTCACCGACCTCCGATTTCATATATCCCCCTTTTGTACAACCAATTGTCTGAGGTTTCTTCTTCTCTCTACATTTCTCTATATTACTCTATTAATTCGATTAAATCATACTCCAATCGATTCATTTCCTCTACGTAATGCTTCGAGTCACTGACCGATAGGCAGAGCCTGGCCAAGGCATCAACCACAACAATCCCCGCACTCTCCGCGTTGCTGACTCAGGCGCTGACTCATCCTTCCGGCTCTTCCGTTCCGCGGTCACGGGAACAGTGTCACCCTGCGTTCTGCCCCAGATCCTCCGTACAAGCATCGGTTTTCATGTACGGAGGGCCATAATTTGGTTGCCTGCACAATATACCATTAGATAGTCGTCATTGAATCATTTTGCTTGATTCTAGTAACAAAAATGCTGGTGCTATGCACATTTTAAATATAAAACTCAGGCGAAAGTCTACTCTAGAATGTAGTATCTGTGCCTAATGCAGTTATATATATTTGTTCAACCATTATGATTCCACATTTAATCATACTAATTTGGTCTAACTAGCACCTTAAAACTGGAAGGACATTCTTGTAATCTCTCACGGATAAGCACAATTAAACTATATTTGACTCCAATAACTTCACATAGTATCCCATGTCTCATAACTGAAGAGACAGGAGTATCAGGTTGTCCAGCAGTTACGGGAGAAGCGCCTTTCGGTCCTTGCCGTGAAATTCTGCCTGTGATTGACTATTGAGGCAGGCGGAAGTGATAGAGCGGTGAGGCAGCCCACGAAACCACGTGACACATACACGTGACAGAGTTTACGGTCTCTATCGAACCTCATTGCGCTAAAGTCATCCATTGCATTTGTTTTCGTTGAACTTGGTATTTCAATCGTGCTTCTCTAGACTATTCGATAGACTCACCAAGTTAAACAAATCCAGTCCATCTCCCTGAGATACCGGAGCAGCCCCTTTCGACAATGCCCAAACTTCAAAGTCATGGTTAGATCGTGTCATTCCACGACGGACATCGAGATAAATGCCTGCTGGAAGGATAGCGTGCAAGACTACAGATGGACATCTTCCAGTGTCGGATACAATGAAGCGCAGGCGAGATATTTCTACATATATCTGTTCAACGCTTATAACCGAAATAGCGATTGCAGCTACTAGTACTGTACCGGAAGCTGAAGATAGATGATGATAAACAATGGAGATGTTGAGTAGGAAGTGAAATATTCTTCAAAATGCTATATACTCTCCATACTCAGTAAATATCCACATACTTCAAGCTACATAATATCCAACGTGCACCTCCGACTTTGAGCCACAGGAACAATTACGTACACCAGACTTATCTACTTCGAGCTTGGAGAACAAAACCAACAAACAATTGTCCTTGGCACGTTCTTATCCAGGGCAAGGGGCTGATGATTCTTTTTGGAAAAAGAAACGCCGTGATTAGGGCTTATCGGCTCCTCAATCTGGTGCCGAGCACAGACAGCAAAAAGCTTCAAATAGGCGACGGTAGGAAATGGAAATTTCCTGAAACAGACATTGCTACGAGTCTCCGACCTTGGAATGAGACAGTACCATGGTTTCGAAATTCTGGGAATCGTGGATTCCGGCCCACCTCGATCTTTGGGTCGGAGTCCATTTGAATTTTAACTCCATGTGAACTTTCACGACGATAACGAATCAAGAGATTCCTAGGTTCGACAGTGTCTTTTAGCGAAAATGGCGGAGAAAGCTAGAAAAGTTACTTGCGAGGTAGCTGGTTATGGTTTTATGTCCGGCAAACTTACTATCTACGTTCACGGTTCTGCAGGTACTACCTGCAGATCAAACCTTTTCTTATTAGATGTATGGTAGAGCGAACCTTCTATCTCGCTTCTTTTTTCTTTTATTTCTTTTTGACGACCCCGGGTCACTTAGGAACCTTCTCAATCTGGTAATGATACTCTACTCTATCGACTCAAAAATAGTGACATCAAAAAACTTGATCCAAAGCTTATCTATCGGAGAGTCCGAGATCTTGATATCAGAATTCAGAGACAAAGTATATCTTCTCCATTACTCCGTAAACTGCACAGAACATGGATCAAAGAATCGCCGCGCGGCTAAATAAGGTTTGCAAAGATATGGAAGGTCCTTCCTCCGCTTCTCCATCGGACGAGAACGAAAAGCTCCAGGGCAAGTCTCCTTGTTTCGAAATACGAGTACCTTGACCCTCTCTTCTCCACCCGGTAGCTTTTGGTCAAACAAATTGCAGTCCTCCGTGCTATTCGGTGCTTGGAGGAAGAGTTTTATTTTCTTTTTATTTTGTTTCTTTTTTGCGGTGGAGATTCTATACAGCATTCATGGGCTGGATTCATCATCCCGTGTAGGGTAGTATTGAGGTTACCATGAGTGGGTTGAGTTTCATGACTTTATGGGATCAACAAGGATACGGAGGGGTAGGCTCGTCTGTAGCTATGGTCGCCAGATTTACATCAATATTCTGTAGATCAAAGTTATCGTCGGCTAATCCTGGATCAGTGACTGTCCAGTGGCGACAGCGCAGATATACAAAGACCTTTGGCAGAAATCGTCCCTGGGTGTTCTGCTATTCGGGGCATTCTATCCCATCTAGATTGCCGATAATATAGAGACAATATCACCCACGGCTTAGACCAACATTCAACTGATTGGCGGAGCACATGAATCTGATTCGGTTACTGATAGTCATGTCGAAGATAGAGATATTGCACTCGCCTCCCTGAAACACGTCGATCTTACGGACGGTTGTCTGGTTTAATCGTAATTCTCGAAACCGGGCGTGGACGCTGGCTAGGGCTACCAGATACTTCTGGTACGGAAGATTGTATGGCGTGAGAATCACGATATCGGAAGGTATAACTCCTTCGATACCGAGCAACGCCCTGGCCTTAAGGGTGAGGGATCGCAATGGATATTTCCAGTGACGCCTTCCTATATGCCGATATATAAACACGTAGATGGACTATAATGAAGTATAGGTCTCTATGAACAAGCGAAAGACCTGATACAAAGCAAGCTGAGTCGCATACTTTATCGGGATGCATGCGGTGATGGGAGTATTGGTGCTGGCATACCCGCGCAGATCAGCCTGTCGAAGAACAACAGACCCGCCTGCGGGTCCAGGGTATTATCGTCCCATAGGTCTGCTATATCTAACATGCGGTAGCCCTGGCTGAGCTTATGATGGACAACACACTCATCCGGGATCCCATGTGAACGATCTGTCTCATGGAAGTCAATGAGGGTGCTCAAGAAGGTGATCTAATCATCCCAAACCAAACCCTCGCGGTAATGCCTGCATACTCGTTGAATATCTATGATGTGGCGCTGTTGTACCCCAGAATTCCCTTTCTGGGACTCGATCTATAAAATCGATGTGATGGCTGGAAGTGCTTGACCGTAGGCCATCTCGAAGCATTGTATGTATAGGATTTCCTAACGGCCGATCTCGTCGTGCGAGGCTGCAACATGTGTCGCCTCCGTTCGGCATACCTTGTCTGTGAAGTGCTTGGTGCTTGACTGCAAGGGACTGAGTAACTCTCGAGAAGGCGATCCAGGACTGCAAGCCTCAGTGTCACATGTAACCGAACATTGTCCACGAAAGAGACGCAATTTTGGTAAGTTTAACGTAAGCTAAACTATCACCATTGGCCTTGTTCTTGTCGACGTGACAAAGTTTTGCCATGAACGTGGGTTGACGTAGTAATAGTGTCAGAGAACCCCATGTATTGGAAGGATACGCTGTTGGGGGCATATCTTTTGTCACCCATCCAGAGAGGATAATATCGTGGAGGATTGCATCTCAATCCGGACAGCGGTTCCCAAAGTGTTTCTGTTAAAACGCACAGGGAGTACCCGAACCTGTATAACCATTCACGAACTTTTGTGATGGTGTTCTGTGGATGTGCGACATCATGATCGGGGATCGTTCCCCTAGATATCCAGCTCGTGTCACATGTATATAGAGATTATATACATCCATGTCCTTGTCGGCCTTCCATTCTGGTTGGTGTCTGATTCAACCCACTAATGCATAGAATATGCATGATCTTGGTCAAGGTTGCCTGGGTCCAAGTCTCATTTTTAAGACTCATGAGCCTGACCCACTATGTGGGCGCATGTGATATGACACCTCACTACACCTTGAATTATATCAATGATTAAGGCAAGAGCTTGCTATGAGAGCTCAAAGAGATCAAAGTGATGGTATTCAGTTGGTTGGAAATCTGTCCTGGACACAGACATGATGGGGGTTTAAATAAGCAAGGCTTCACAAGAGTGTGCAAAGAGCTACAAGAATGTTGATGGCAGAACAAAGAAGTCATGGCACTATCACGTGTTGATCATGGATTATTTTTAGGCGTGTGCATTGTCCCGATTAGTTGAGCTTACCTGATGCGCTGGTGAAGGTGCTGGGGAGATCTACACAGGTTTCGGCTGAATTCAGCCTTAGATCTTCCTTTATTCACTCTTCCATTAAACTTTATACAATTGAACGCATGATATACACATCCGCTTGCAGCAATAAGCACAAACAATGCAGGGTATCATCAGGTCAACGGGATATACAGACCTAACTCTGCGTCCCCACTGCTCCAGAACAACAAGTCATTCGATCATAAACCAATAATCACTGAGCTTCCGCAGGGGAATAGTCAACATAGCACACGGCATTGTCCTCGAACGGCCCGTAGAACCGGCTACGCTCGTACGGATTGAAGGGGATACCCTTCTTTAAACGCTGCACTAGATCTGGGTTACTGGTGAAGTACCGGCCATACAGCAGGGCATCATAGCGTCCCTCTTCCAGGACTCCCCAGGAGTTGGTCTGGTTCCAGCCACCGCCCGAGAAGAAGGGGGTGCCACTGAAGATCTTGCGGAAGCTCGTGAGGTCCACGTCGAGAAGACCCCAGCTGCGCAGGAAGGTATCTTTCTCTTCGTAGCTGAAGATTTGTTCGTAGCGCTATATCTCTTAGTAACAATCGTCTAGCGACAGAGGATCACACTCACAGGTTCAATGAAGCTGACATACGACAAATTCGGGTGGGCCTGCTTCAATGTCTGGCACAGGAAGGTCCAGGTTTCCACACGCTGCTCCCCGCGCGCTTGGTTGAACAACCCGAATGGAGAGAGACGGATTGCCAAGTTCTCTTCGCCCACGGTCTTTGTCAACTCCTCCATCAATTCGAGGACGAACTTGCATCGCTTTTCCGGCGACCCACCGTAATCATCCGTGCGTTTGTTAATGTTGGAGCACAAAAATTGCTCAGGAAGGTATCCGTTTCCACCGTGGAGCTCGACGCCATCGAACCCTATTTTCATGGCCAATTCGGCGGCTTTACAATAGTCCTGGATGGTCTGTTTGATGTGTGGGACGGTTAATGCGATCGGCGGGTGGTCCGCATAGCGAACAGGCTCTGTCGATCCCACGGGGGGATGAGAATAACACTCCGTCGGCGAGTCCCAGACCGTAGCCGAGGCCGAGACCGCTGGAGATCCAGTCATTTGGGGGATGGTGGCACGGCCTGCATGCCACAGTTGGGCGAAGATGTAACCCCCTTGCTCATGGACGGCATCAACCACTCTTTTCCAGCCAGCGATTTGCTCTTCGGTGAACAGACCAGGAACGCCGGGCATTCCATTACTCTAGATAGGCAGCGAGTGTGTTACTTTCACTATCTCGAAATTTCCTCCCCCCTCCCCTTCCCATTGTCTCTACCTATCGAAGTTTTGGGGCAAAGGTGCATGACGTCTACTAGAGCATACCTCGAGTGAAGGTGGGATACCTTCCGAAATGATCAGCCCGCCGGGGGTCGCCCGCTGTCGATAGTACTCGACCATGAGATCCCCCGGATACCAAATCCGATTGGGATTCTCAGGGGTACTGGTGGCGTTCACCGGGACGCCTCGGTTGCGGGTCATTGGCGCATGAACTACGCGATGGCCAAGCTTGATTTTGCCATTGCTGATGTCCAGCGGCTGAAAGAGCTGGGAGCTTTCGCCTTCCAGCTTGCGAATGGTCATAGTGGGGCACAAAGGATTTAAAAAAAAGAAATAAGCAAAAGAGACGTCAGAAAGTTTGACAGTAATGAGAAGGGGTATACAGCAATAGATCCCGGTCAAAAGGGGAAGGCAGATAAGAGGAAAAGTGGAAGACAGAAGACGACGACAATGGAACGACCCAAATTTGCGCCACGACTGGATACTTATTTCAAGGAATTTTATTTGGCAACTGATAAGAAACCTCTCCGCCCCTTCGTTCACAATGTCGATCGAGTCTCCTATTCTTGCTTTCTAACGGCTCATGACCGAAATGGGTTGACAGATGGACCCCGACCATGTCTGGGACTCCAATGAGAGGCGACGACACGATGGGCCCGCGGGTTGAACCTTCGAAGATGAAGAGACTTCCGAGGCAGCTACTGTACTATCATAGGCTAGTATATTAACGAAGACTCTCTGAGGCCCAATCATGTCTACTCGGCTGGTCACGGTGATGTCTCGAGGAGGGCCCTAGTGACTCTTGGTGTCACGCCAGCCGAGATTTTCAGTGCCAGGTTAACGGTGGAACACCAACAGCCGAGGGATCATTAAGAGTTATATATCAAACACACAGTATCGGCGTGTAATCAAAACCGCATAGCATTAGTCATAGCGCGAGAGAAGAGGCAGAGAAGTACGAGGTAGGGGAGAAAAAAAAATTGACTGGCATGTCGCGTGGGCTCCACCCGAGACAAAGTTAAAGTGAGACGAAAACACTCAGTGTTGGTCGTTTAGGGTTAGCAAAAGGAACCACACTGGTCGGCTTCATTTCCACTGAGCGTGGGATAGCACCAATAGCAGCGTTCTGTATATGTTTTCCGGCCTTCCCCTTATTCTGTTTGGATCTTGGCTCTTGCCAACGGTCGGTGGTGTCATTCCTGCTGAACCCTGCGTTGTTCGCTCTCGGTTCTTCTCTTCCTTCGTATCCCTTAGTTTCCCGATAGTAGCCAAAGCATGTTTAATAGTGCCGGGTATAGTAGTTCAGTACGGAGTAGTAGTAGTAGTAGTAGTAGTAGTAGTTAAAATCACTCATGTGCCGGACAGGCAAGCCAATGCACACGAATTGCCTACTAGTTGAATTCGTGGGGTCGTGGCGTGTGCGCCGTCTGAAAATTTTCAAATGCTGCCTGGGCCACTTAGTCTCATAGCACTATCGCCTATTATAGCACAAATCGACTATACCCAGTCTGCTAAAACCCAAGCCGGTAAAAAGGGGAAAGGCAGTTCAACCCGTACCAAACTGTTGGTGTTGCTGTCGCTGCAGCATTAGCATTAGCATGAACTAGGCGCCCCACCCGCCCCATGTATTGCCTAATTGACAGAAAAAGTTTCCATTCCACCGACTGTCGACGTAGTATTCGGTAGTGATACTCGATGGAGTTCACTGAAACAACCCATGGTTCAGTGGCGTCTATCATTTTCCCTTCAAAGCCATCCGCCGGCGTCTTCCGGGGAAGTCGGTGCACCTATCAAGATCGATCTGGCTGCACATCCCCATTTTGCCTCCTGCCGGCCAAGGTAGCACTAGATTTTTCCACTGCAGCACGGTGGCGGGTCCTCCACCAACACCTTGACAGTCCATGTCCCGGAAAGTTCACAAGCATTTCCCGACTATTTGTTCCAGTCTTCCAGAGTCCAAACCAAACGCTTTGACTCCCCTGGCGTGGCCTATCAGAACGGGAGATTTCATGCATATGAACGATCGATGGAGTCACTCCTATCCGCTCTGGTAAGGGCCATCGATATATTGTGGACTCGCCCACATTGTATCCCTCCTGTTTTTCTTTCCTCCCCAGTTGAGCCTCCATAATGCTCCATTGTTGGCATCAACAATGACAGAAACACATCCTGGGTCTTCCCTGAATACCATCAACCTCGTTACACAATGCTTGTGCATTCCCATCGTCACCCTTTTCGTGGTGACACGGTTCTCTATCCGCTGTTGGTATAAGCAGTTCGTAGTCGTTGAAGATAGTATGTGCGATTTCCAATTCGTGAAACCCCACGGTTACTGACTCGAATCTAGCATTCTGTTTTCTAGCATGGGCAAGTAACAACCCAATGTCCTACGGGGGGAGGCATCTATTAACCATCCACAGATTCTGTTCATGGCATACTGCGGTATTGCCATTGTTGGTAAGTCGGCACCTGTCAATCGTACGCCGCCATCCACAGTACTAACGAGGGCATTAGTGGGCCAATATGGTGGAGGTGTGAATTATCTAGAGGTTCCGGCGGCAATGCAGGTTTCTTTCCGCAAGGTATTCACCGTGGCAGCCATGGAACAACGTTCGGCCATACTGATTGTGACTTGACCACTTAGTTCTGCTACGTCGCGACAGTCTTCTACTGCCCCATGAGTCTCTTCGTGAAATACGCCTTGCTTTCCATCTTGATCCGGATCTTCTCGCCATACCGGGGCCGCATTATGTTCATTTATGTTCTCCTCGGATGCCTGACCGTCTACTACATCATCGCTGAAATTGTCAAAATCCGCATGTGCGACCCCGTCCCGGCATATTGGACGGGAGAACCGGCCAACTGCCTCGATCAAAAAGCTGCATTGATTGCCGACTCGGTTATCAGCGTCATTACCGACATTATGATCCTTGTCCTGCCGCTGCCGCTGACCTGGTCGCTACAAATGTCGCGGAGCAAGAAGCTCCGAGTCATCGGCATGTTGTCCGCTGGAGGGCTCGCCACGGCCTTCAGTGTTTACCGACTGATCCTGGTTCTGAAAGACGGTAGCTCGCCTAATACTACTGTAATGTTTATGTGTGTGATTCTGTCAGGGTACGTTTCCACACATCCGACACTTCCTCAGCCAGCAAAGGAAGAAAAGAAGAAGAAGAAAAGCTAACACCCCACACCAGTAACGCGGAAGGAGGAGTCGGTCTCATCTGCGCCTGTCTCCCGACGATGAACATCTTGATCAACAAACTGCGCAAAGCCGGCTACAGCTACGGCTCGAACAAGTACTACCAGGACGAGTCCTCGATGCACCTCAGCAAAATGAAAGGCGCCAACAGCAAGGGATTCTCCGCCATCGGATCGAAGGCTTCCCGAACCGAGCCCGAATTTGGATCCGACCAGAGCCATCTGATTGCGTACGCAGGCACCGTCGACATGAGCGCCACCGGCGATGGCGGGATCCATAAGACCGTTGACGTATCGCAAACAGTGGAGGTGCTGGCTGGAGAATCGTCCTCGAACCATTCCGACCATCACACGCGCTTTTAGCGCGCCTCCCTTCTTTTTTCTCCCTATCCTATTTCCCTTTTTTCTTTTTTTCTTTCTCTCTATAATAGATATCCTTGGTGGGGCATTTTGCACGCATGTTCGACTTACTTTCCATTTTTTTTCTTTTGTGGAGCTTGTTTTACACACGATTTTCTACAGGTCCAAAGCTTGATACCTTCGATGGGCTTCTCGAGGCCTCGTGATGTCATTTTAGATGTGTCTAATGTTTATAAACACATCACCTCATTACAAATAGAGATACGGTTATGATATATCATTTTTTTTGCCCCTCGATGTCGAGGCGAACGATCGTCCAAGGATGAATAGGATTGCCGTGCCGAGAGTCACCAAATCGTCGGGTCAATCTTTTCATAACCTAGTCCCCAAATGCACCACAAAAAGCACCAAAAAAAAGAGAAAAAAAGAAAAAAGGAAAAAACAATCGCTGCAAAAGATCACCCCCACGCGAAGAGACCTCTTTCAAAACGAACGCGCATGACCAACAATGGCACCGAAAACCAGTCGACGATGCAAGCACGAAGGATGATCTAGCGACGACGATCAGCACCAGTGGAGCTTATTCGGCATGCGAGGAAAATGATTGCACGCCATGTGGCAATTATCCGAAAGACACCATCTAAAATTAAGGGTATTAATTTGCAATTCCATTTAATTGACAAGCGCGACTTCGAGATTCAGCTCAGCCCCCACTTTTCTGTTGGCTCGGCGACTTGGACGGAGAAGTTACATGTCGGACCTCCGCGGCTGGATCCGCGGTTAATACGGGCAATTTTAATGTCTTGATGTCATGGCCAGTGGGATTATCTCCCCAGGTCCGCAGGGGGCCTTGGGGAAGGCCTAGAACTGAGATGAGACAGGAGTATGTCCGAGTAAGACCTAATTTGATAATCGAATGTGGTGGTGGTGGTGGTGTCATGTTGTTGGGGTTGCCACAGCGGTGATTATGTGATTTTTCTTGCGCATAGCCCTAGATATTATGCAAAGGATCATATGAAAGCCGGATCCGGACTCCAACAGCTCCAACTACTGTGCACTAGTGCGTGGTGTCATTTGTCACAGTGCTTGTCTGCTTAGATCGTATCTCGTGTCCCGTGTCCCTGGCGGGCTTTCCTCGGGTCTGGTTCGGTGGGCCGGGCGCCTCGTATTTGTTTTGGGGGCGTTTCTGATTCCCGTTCCGATTATTAATTTATTCAATATTAACTATGTATATCAGACGATCGAGAGAAAGTTTCAATCTGTGAAGGAGGGCTAGTTGACAATAGCGTAGTTAGTGGCCGAGGAGATGTGGCCGAGAGAGTTCATCTAGAACTTGCGAGGAAGTTAACGATGACAGGGATTGTGTAGGTTGGAATTCGGCAGCACTACTGCAGTAGAAGGATTATCTGCTTGGCATTGGAATATTCTTAATTAACTTCATTAATTACTCGGCCTTGTTATAGTTCTGATCTTCCCTTATAAATCTCCTAGTCTGATCGCCGGCGCAGCTCGAGCCTTGAATACGAAGCCTGATTAATGATTAATGATCCTCCGCGATCAGTCTAAGAACAGATCGCCGACCATGTCGTGTCGATCTCCTGCTAAAAGCAAGCATATACTAGTCCATGCTATTATGAACCTGAGCGCTTTGACAAATACTACATACCGAGCTAACGAATACCCCGTGCGTGCTAGGACGTGATCTGGTGGGGGGGTTATACAGAATCGAAAAAGGAAACTGCTAATCGCAGAGAGATGGCTTTCGCTCATGGACCCTGGCGCTTGGGCGCTCGAGTGTTGCTGCATGCTAGCAGTAGTGTGAGGCACACGGCCAAATTAATTGGTCACTATGGAGTGGTGCATCCACACAGTCAGTCTGGAGTATGCCAATTGGGTATGATCTTCCCTACGAGTGTCGCCTGTCACTATGACCAGACCATGAAGAGCGGTCATTGAACTATTGAGACTGATAATGCGCACGGGCCCTGTCACTTTACCCCGGCTGCGCTGATGATATAAGCACTTTCTAGAGTCAATCCGTTGGGGTTTGTTGACCCAGTGATATGACTGCCCCAGCTAAGGTCCACCCCTGCCTTGAGGCTGGGGAAATCGCACAATGGTACTCCCTTGGAGAGACATTGGAGAGATAGACCTCGGCGATGGGTATGACATGGGCCAGCTACGTAAGCACTTGTGCGATAGCAAACAATCGTTGTCCCCCCGTCCTCTTCTGATCATGACAACCGGGAAAGCAAGGTGACACCAATCCACATGCCAAGGCTCGTAGTTTATCGCAATAACAGTCGAGAAACCCTCTATCGCAGGCTAGAATGACTTCATGAGCCACCGTGGCACAAGACCGACGTTTCGAGGCACCTTGTCACTTGTTTTCATGGCAAGAGGCTCTAACAATCATCGACTTTATGACTTGATGCAACTGTACATGTCACACCGAGTCAACTCAGAACTACTGACACCGGCACACAAATAGAGAAATGCATCCTCGTGGTGGTTTCTGTGTCCTGATGATGTCCTTGAAACGATACATTATTTTCCTCGTTCACAAATATAGTACAGTTGCACCATGTCTTCCGTTCAAAGCTCTGAAACCCACAATGGCTTCTCTATTGCTCCCCTGCCCACAGTTGACCATGCGCGCCTCGAAGCGAAAGACGGGGAAGAGGCCCAGCGACTCCTGGATGCCTGCAAAACCCATGGATTCTTCTACCTGAACCTCAGAAGCGTGGGGACAATCCTAAGTGACTGGCAACAGGTTCTTCGCATAATGGAGAAATACTTCAGTCAGGATCTCATGGCAAAGATGAAAGATGACCGTCGCAGCGATACCTACGGGTAAGCCGGCCATATGTAATCTAATTCCTCAAATAACCAGAAGCAGCTATGAGCCCTGCGGAACCTCAGCAGGAGCAGTGCCCGGTACACTCGACTTTTACGAGACTCTGAAGGTAAACATCATGGTTGAGAGAGCCCTTATTCAGAAGACTAAACACAATCAGATTGCCCGTTCAGAAATGTACGAAAAGTCAGCATCACTCCCACAAACCGCCAAAGACAATCTCGAGCTCTTTGACCGCTTTATCCGAGCCGCTGATACCATCACCACGACGATTCTGGCCCGGCTTTCCGATGTGTTCAATCTGTGCTCCGGCTCGCGCTTCGAGGACAAACATCGCCCAGGAGGGAAATCGCAAAGTACACTGGCTCTCTTCCGATATCCAAAGCAAGACGTGCAGGATAACAAGGTTGGTCATAACAAGCACACCGACATTGGAACCCTCACCCTCCTCTTCAGTGAGCAATGGGGCCTGCAGGTCCTTTCTCCTGAGACATCAGAGTGGAACTTTGTCGCTCCAAAGCGAGACCATGCTGTTGTCAATGTTGGCGACTCGTTGCGCTTTCTCTCTGGGAATGTACTCAAGTCATGCGTTCATCGGGTCGCGCCCCGGAATGTGTCTTGTCGTCAAGAGGAGCACCGGTACAGTATCGCATATTTTCTCAGAGCGGAGGATGTAGTGCAATATGAGGATAGCAAGGGTCGCGTGATCAGCGCTAGAGATTGGCATGACGAGAAATACGAAGCATTTCGAATGGGTCACGATGAGTCTAACAGCGACAGGATCTTAACTGGTGGGATGGAGAAGGGTGGGCAATTCATTGTTTCAACTATCTCAGAGGATGAGTGAGGTGTATTTTGTTACTCCTTCACCTCGTCCGTTGTGTTTCTTGCACGTTCGGAGGCCATGCTTTGGGCTATGGCTAAGTGCAAATATAGTGCCAAACTGCTCGATGCGTGATGGGTGGTTGTTTCGTTTAGGTACCTCCAGATTGAGGCCGTACATGCATTCTATGTTGTCATGTCTCTTGTTCTGAGATGAATTCACTCTGATTAGTTGCGATCGTACATTTCTGACTTGGATAAGCATATAGACGAGATTTATTGACTCGTTATCCTCCCTCTCAATTCGTGACCCTACTTGTGTCCATTTCCTGCACTAGACAGGCTCTATGTGATATTTAACTTCAACCAAGTGATCGACTATTTAAGGCTGGAATCTGTCAACTAGCTCTATCTTAGCAACAAGTTATGAATGGTACTTCCATGTCAGTAGAAACACCGCCAATGGCTGTGCCAGTCATGACATCGACCTGACGGAGTACCGAGCATCATGCCAAATATAATATCCTGGCCATCATAATTGGTCCAGCATAGTTTCGAAAAATTTACAATTATGCCCCGCACCAAACTTCAAAGTACACTTTCATTCCCCCTGGGAAGCACCACAATGCATTGAAATTAAACAAGATCCATACACCACATAACGTAAAAAGTCCCCACCGAAAATAAACTATACATTAAGGTGAAATAAAGTGATCCCGATCGACGAGTCGCAAACCGCAATCCGAGATCGATCTGATAATGATCGAAGGCTGATCAGGAACCAGGGAACCACTCAGCCCTAACATCCAGCAGATGAGATCACCATATGACATCATGCCCCCATTGGTACATCTCATATAAATCAGAAACAAGTTCCTTTTCACAAAATAAACACCAGAAGCCAATCCACAGAGCCATGTCGAAACGAATCCAATCCTTCTTCCAACCCATCCCCAAGAAACCCAAAGTGGAGCCCTCCTCACCTGACCCATCCCAGCCCTCAAACGCGCTCGATATAGAACAAGAACAAGAAGAACAGCATGAAGAAGAACAGCAATTACCACTAACCCACCACCCAGCCTACCCCTTCCCAATCCCCAACCTCCCCCCACACCTATCCAAAGCCCTATCCAACATCTCTTCCACCCCCAAACCCATAACCAACCACCCACACCTCGACCTCCTCTACTTCCAACCGCTCCTCCCACCCCAAACAGCGCACTACCTGTTCCACTTCCTGCGCAGCTCCCTCCCCTTTTACAAAGTCCAATACACAATCCACCGCGGGCAAACACCGACCAAGATAACGACCCCAAGAAACACCACCGTCTTCGGCGTCGACGCCACGTCCACATTCACCCATGACGAAGGAAACAAGTCCCTCCTCTGCACCAAAACCAACACTCCACCACCGAGCCCTAGATACAAGTGCCATCCACGCCCAATCCCGCCCTGTCTGGAGCACCTCCGCCAAACAATCCAATCCGTGACCAACACCCCGCCAGACTACTACAATTTCATCTTGGTGAACTACTACGCCTCAAACACGGATAGTATAAGCTACCATTCTGACGACGAGAGATTCCTCGGTCCGAACCCTAGCATTGCGTCCCTGTCGCTGGGTGCCAAGAGGGATTTCCTGTTGAAGCATAAGCCAGGGATTCAGGCGGGGCCGTTGAAGTTCCCTCTCGCCAGTGGCGATATGGTTGTTATGAGGGGGGAGACGCAGGCGAATTGGTTGCATAGTGTTCCCAAACGGGCGGGCGATGGGGGTGGCAGGATTAACGTGACGTTTCGGAGGGCTTTGGTCCCTGGGGGTACGGAGAATTATTATAGGTATAATGTTGGGGATGGCGGGGTTTGGCGGTGGGATGGGGATCGGGGGAGCATGGTTCTTGTTGGTGGGGAGGAGAGTAGTGGGTGAGTGGGATGGGAGGGTGTGGTGGAGTATATCGGTTGATGAGGGTGTTCGTCTTTACTGTGTTGGTGTATGTGTTGATATGGCAAGTGGTCCAAGTCTCATGGGATGTCAGAGAGTGGAACATTCATGGCGTGGGCTGGAAGTGGTACTATTGACACTGCTCTACGACCAAACAGGGATGCAACAAGACTTCTAGAGTGTATTCTCGAGAGATACAATCGGCATTGGAGAATAATATTACAGCTTCGGCCGGAAGCCCGCCTTAACCTCCTTCTGGGCCTCCTCCCTCAGGACCCTCTTCAGGATCTTTCCACTGGCGTTCTTCGGAATCGCGTCCAGAAACTTCACACCCCCCGTCAGTGCTTTATACTTCGCCAGTCTCTGACCGAGGTATTCTTGCACCTCCTCCTCCGTCAGCTTGTCGCCCGTTCCCGGACGCCGAGTCACGTAAGCCCGCGGAAGCTCACTGTCGGGAAGCACACCGGACAAGCCGATAACTGCAGCATCGATGATGAGCGGATGCGAGAGAAGAACGGCCTCGAGCTCTGGCGGAGCGACCTGGAACCCGCGGACCTTGATCAACTCTTTCTTGCGGTCCACGATGTACCACTTTAGAGTATCTTTGTCGCAGTATGCGATGTCCCCGGTGTGGTACCAGCCGTCCTCATCGAAGGAGCAAGCATTCGCAGCGGCATTGTTAAAGTATCCCGGTGTAACGGTGGGCCCTCGGACACAGATCTCGCCTCGAACCCCGTACGCGGAGACATTCTTTCCTTCGTCATCGACTAGTCTGGTTCCGGTCAGCTGCTGAGATTCAATATCGGAATAACGCTTTAAACTCACTTGGCCTCTACGTTAGGTAGCAATCTCCCCACACTACCCGTGTCGTCCTGTTCGTACGCTCCGATTCGTCGCGATGCAGCATGTCTCCGTCATGCCCCACACCTGTGTGCAGGGCGCATCCTTGGCCAGCATGACGCGGAGCTTCTCCTGTACATCCTTGCTCAACGGAGCAGCGCCGCACAGAGCTATGCGGACGCTTTTGAGGTATGGGCGGGCCTGGACCTGTGGCGTCATGACAATGGCGACTGCGATGGGCGGGACCATCTGCAGGTCCGTGATTTGAAACTTTTCGACATTCGAGACGAAGCCCATGAGGTCAAAGCGACGCATTACGTATAAGACCTGGCCGCCCTTGAGAGGACTCCAGTGGGTGGAAGGGGCAGCGGCGGCGTGAAACATGGGTAAGGCCATGAGCCGGCGGATCTATAGTGGTCAATAAGATTCGGACTCATCGCTTCTGCGCCCAGCATAGAGCCTATGCTGTTCGGGAAAATACCTGATACGGTCGCTTCTCTATCTCAAAGACCAGTTCGTGCTGGGCGATGAAATTGCGATGCGTCAGCGTCGTTGCCTTGGGCAGACCCGTCGTGCCACTGCTAAACAGCCTGGCGGCGGCGGTCTCTTCGCACGTTTTCAGATCATCAAACCGCAGCCAATCCTCCTCTCCAGCGGACAAGAGTCCCTGCCATGACTTCAGCCCGGCGGGGACAGTCTGACCGTGGACGTCGAACACCAGCAGATTCGATTCCGGGATACCCGTCTCCTTCATGGCGGCCTGTATCGGGGCGATGATCTCCGGCTCAGAAATGACGAACTTGGCCTGCGAGGCTCTGATGTGGTGTGAAAGCTCCATGGGGGTGTAGGAGGGGTTGGTGCCGGTGTAGATCCCGCCGGCGCCGTTGATCGCCAGGACCAACATGGAATAGTAGATCTATGCAGTAGACTTCCCATTAGAATGATTTAGACGGTCTGGAACTGGCTGGATCAAACACACATCATTGAAGGAATGGATGGCTACGCAGTCGCCTTTCTGTACGCCCCATGCGTGCAAACCGGCAATCAACTTCCGGACGATGACCCGAGCTTGATTGTAGGAGATCGACCGCGAGTGGTCGCTCGCATCGTTGTAGACCTGGCTGATTTAGAATATGTTCAGTTGCTCGCGACGGGGGAAAGAGGTAATTACTGGTTGGTCATGGTCATATGGCGGATCGGAAAAGATATAGGAGATGACGTCGGTGGTGGGCAATGGCACCCGTGACGGCGGTTCGAAGATCATCGTGCTGAAGTGTCAGGCGGATCTAGGGAAAGAAGCAAACAAGAGAGCCCAACACTGAGACTTATGGTGGCTATATAATTAGTTGATGGTGGGTATACCATCAACGTTTTAAGGCCGTCCATAGTTCCCCACATGGAAGTGAGCTCCGCCTGTCATGCGGTGGGTCATCACCACTTCACCGTTGAATGGATGGGTCTGGCACTCTAGCATAGAGGGAATAGGCTCGGTAGGGGCCAATCAAGTGCATAACTGCATAAATTTCAGAGCTGAGCCTGGTTTGTGGCTCCTCCGTAGCGGACCTCGGATGTTGCGAGTATGACGCGCGGGAGGAAATTCAACTGCGGGGAATTCAACATCTGCGGTTTTATACGACCAATACTCAAGCATAATTCGTGCCATGTGTAGGTCCGTGTGACAGATAAGATTCAAGACGACCAGTGTCATCGGAGCTGACCGCAAATACTGCGAACGAAGAACAACTGGCACGTTTTAAGTTTAGGCCACTAGTCTGTCCTTTCCTACCCTTCTTTTGTTGTTATAGTATAGTTTTATCTTGGCTCCTAAGATGCACCCAAAATACCCGGCATGCCAAGCTAACATTTGTGGTATACATGATTCGAAATAGCATGAACCCTAGAAAACGTCCAACCCGGCCCACCATGTATGATGCCACCCTTCAGAGCCGACCAAGACGACCAGAGGCATAAGCCTCTTGCATTATCTGTATAATTAGCTAATAGTACACAGTTACCGAAGCAAGGATTGACAAGGAGTGAACGAGGTAGGTGGTTTATGTTAGACAAATATTAGCTAGGTAAGGAACCACGGGTAGCATATTGGTTTCGTTAACGGCATCCAACATGAGCATCCAGCAAATTGCCCTGATTGTTACCGAGTATCGCCGAGGAATCAGCTGCAGTTTGATGTATGAAGGTATGGCGATCTCGAAACCCGTATGCATGGGATATGCACATAGTCCGTGCGGAGTCTTAGATTTGTACCGTTCCTCGGTCCGCTCGTACCGTCGTCTGCCATATTGCCTTACCAGATACTGTGATTGTATGATAGTTCGGGCTTGAGTATGGCTAGATAAATGTGAGTATTCTCATTGTCTCTTGTGATAGCGGACACTATATACTAATATCTCCATCATTCTCGATTTCAACGCCCATCGTTTATGTGATATATCATAAACCATGGAATTGTATCTTGTGGTCTAGTTTGATTATCTACAAGATTGAGCGACAACCGGAACTGGCCCCAATGTAACTGGGAATGAAGACATTGCTGGCAGTTGGGCTGGCGTGATCCCAACTACATGTTGATGGCCTTCTGCCGTCAGAGCTGTGATACACTGCTCTCAGCCACATCTTCAGCCCGACATAGTAGTTCTGTGCGAAACGTGCAACAACTGAATGTTCGTCTTCAAAGCTGTATTAATACATTGCTCGTTTGCCAACAAAAGTTGTCACTATCATAGGTGATAACCTGGCTTGAAGACTTTGATGATGCGGAGGGATAGGCTCTGAGTTAGGAAGTGGGTACGACCAGGGCTTGCCTTTTTCGAGTATTTCATGTGGGATACCTAAAGCAGCCAATGCCTAGAATCCTTCATCGAAATCCAAAATGCTTGAACCAATCCTTAGCAGGCTCTGATGCCACAAAGCTCCTCTACTTGAGGCGCATGAGCTCTCTTGTCAGGTAGACCGATATGGGCTGAGGAGGTTGTTCTCATGACATTGATGTTTGATCCAAAATTCTCGACGGTGTTGAGAGTTGCCTCGACCATAAAGTTCAGTGAGTTGTTTTTATTTCTCTACTGAACGTCGTCTTTTAATACCTAGTGCTCCTTCCATAAATGATGCCTGTTACAAATTGCGTGTGCCATTTGTTGGTGTCCTCACCGTTAACGCCAATGGCGTGTGATATTACTAAACGCCCTACCGACTGTGCCAAATACCTCTTCTCATCCTGGTGTCGCTCCACGGTCAACTTTGCAGCGCCGAGGGCAATCTTCATTGGATTTATGTCATCGACAAGATGGACTCGTTCCAGTTATTGTTGGCGCATGATCTCATCTTGTAGTACATGTCTAGTCGGCCACTTCCGAAGGACATATGAAAGCCCGTCATCGATAGTCACTGTGACGCAGCATTCTCCTTGATCTGTGGATTGACCATGGAAGCAGTGTTCATCGGCATTTCCTGTGGATTCACTTGCATCTTTGAAGAATTGGGTTAAGCCTCAAAAACCATAATGACTCGGCAGTGTATGGACCTCGGTGTTCGTGACACTAGGCTCCATTAGTACCATCCGTTTGCGAGGGCCAGAATGTAGAATACCAGGGATGTCGGAGCCGATCATCCTCCCTCTGTGAAATGGAATTGTCGACATTACATCATGTGCACTTGTGGCGCCGAGATGGTACGCTGCCATACATCCGCAAGGAACATCGGATCTCGATCGAAGATAATATTACTGGGAAGCCAAAGTCTTCAAAGTAACGTGTGCTGAAGCACCTGCCTGGTCGACCAGAACTGTGAAATAGAACTTCAGCGCTCATGTGTGATAGTAGATGTAAAACCATCCGTTTATAAAACATAGGTTCTTGGCATTTGGACCCTTGTGAGTCTCGAGACCATGCCCATTGCAAGCGCTGGATATCTCCGAAATAACAGATTGAACAAGATGCCGGGCGGTGCTCTTGTTATGGCTGCGCAAATGGTGGATGCAGCACTACGCATGCGCGTACGAGTCTCATGGACCTGTATGAGTCCATCGGTTACCTCTCGGAGGGTAGCACGCATCTTTCACGTCCAACTCTCGGAAATGTGGCCGGAAACAATGGATAGAGATGAAGAGCTTCCAACAGGTAGTTTCAGAAGTAGATTCGTTTAATATAGTGCCGCTTGTTAAATGAGGGGGAGAACTGTTACCGCGACCAGGAGAGGCTGCACAAGGGTCGAACGGCTTCGAGGAACAAACTATGGCCCCATCTCAGCAGTGTATTCAGTTGGATGGGTTTCGATATCCACATGCATATAGCTGTCTGGCGCCTGGCTTTGCTATCCAATCAAGCATGGCGTGATTCACCGCTGCTCGGTCCTGTAAGTGTCCGCATCCCTTCCCCCGGTCAATACAAGATTGAAGATTGTCCACACAAAAGAGGATCTGGCTCCGCACTGTCTCCACGCGCTCGTCGCGGGTGATGATCTCCTTTTCGACGTCAACCGGGGTATCGCGCGGGAAGCCGGTAAGGTCGGCAAGACCACAAGCCTCTCTCAGACGGTCTTCGATACCTGTGATCACTTTATTCCTCTAGGTCCCGAGCCTCCTGATTACCTTTGTCTCTGGAAATAGTTGCTATAGACCTTCCTACAATCTCCTTCTTGCTAAATAGGTCGGGACCCTTGCACCATACCCAGCGGCGCGCGGCGGCAGAAGCAGCGGAGGCACGTCAACGAGGCATTTTTAAGGCAGGATAGGGCGGCGGAGGAGAAAACCGAAAACGGGGCCACAGGGAGGGCAGCCACCCTCATTCCCAGATATCTTTCCAACTGAGCCAGCATAGTCGGGAATACTCAGTCTCTTTTTGCAACAATTTTGTCATCAGGAGTTCGGACAAAAGCGCATCGACCTTTTGGCCTAAGAGCATGACGAAAGGAAAGGTCAACGAGGCTCTTTGAAAGAGATACATGTGCCTGCTTTTGAGTAACAGTCATCTAGTGGACGACAGGCAATGTTAAATATGTTGTACTCACTGTAGTGTCATGCTTCGTGGGCGGTACATCCACATCTTCAAGGCGGTTGCCGGAATATGTGCTGGGCTTGTGAGTTCGTACAGCTCCATAACCCGGACTTGTGTGCTTAGGAGTTGAAATAGGACCAATCATATCCTAATTCTGTCCAAATATTCGGAATATCCATTTACCCACGGAGAAGAGTGGATGAGTGCGTTCAGCTGCTCATCGATAGGCATTGTGTTTGGCTGAACAACGGTCACGACCTGGAAGTTAATATAGGGCTTAACTTCGTTACCAAAGCTTTCTATTATAATACTGAGATTCGCCGAAGACTCTATCTCGACCACTCTGCCTTTTATTAACAAGTCGCCTTTTGATAGATGCAATCTTGAGCCACTTGGAACTTGATTTCTGTATTCTCGGGAGCTCAGGGAGATTGATGTTGTTTTTCGATGGTATCCAGTTGTTGAATCAGTGGGGCTATTCCGGTACTACTAAACGGCCTTACAATATAGAGATCCGGTCCAAGGATGGGGCAACATTTCGATATTGTAGTTTGTACCTGAGAAGCACCGTCAATTCGGGATAGACGGCCATCGGACTATTCAGTACCAGTGTCAAACTCATCGTCGCTGCTACTCTCTTCGACAGATAAAACTCGGACTAAAGTGATTGGTCGATACGTTTCAATAGTCGCTGGAGGCTCACCTCCAGCTGCTTTGATGCGATGATTTCGCAGACGATCGATGTCGATAAGATAACCCAGAAACCAGAGCTTTATGGCAGAGGCGAGGTCAGTGAAGGAGGAGAGCCGACTGGGCCCCAAAGGAGGAGTAGAAGAAAGACGCGAATCCACTGATTAAGATGGACGAGAGTTACATTTCTAAGTGCAAGAGAAGTGGCAGCCATACAAGCTTTCCAGAAAGAAGGATCCTAGTACGGCCTTTGATCAATTTATAGCTTTATATCAAGTGGTCCTGTGAATCACTTTTACCAATATTACAATTCAATCCACAGATAATTCACACCCAGGGGAACAAATAAATATAATCAGTCCCAACAACAGCCTAGAATGAATGAACAATGCACGCCTACATAGCCTTCACCTACCCAGACCCTTCACAAAGCTCCCGGATAGCTTCCCTCAACTCAGTCTTTCCCCTCCAGACTTGATCACTGTTTGAATTCTCCGCATTAGTATTCGCCATAATGCCACCCGGCAAAAAGGCATTGGTCATCTCGGTGAAAGCCTCGGCCACGTTCTTCGGGAGAAATCCCGCAAAGAACTGCGGTAGATCTTTCCTCTCAACAAGTCGCAGTTCAACCTCCTTGCCAACAGCCTCTTCGAAGGCCTTTTGCACGTCTTTAGGCGTATAGGACCTCGGTCCATGGACGTCAACAATGTAGGGACTTTCCGGAATATCGGACTTGAGTAAATAAGTTGCAAAGGCTTGGCCCATATCTTTGACAGCGACCTGTTTCAGGTTTTGGTTAGCATAATAAACTCTATTTTTGACGCAGATAAAGGTAACAAACCATAGGGACCTCGAAATCGACAGGCGTGATATAAGAATATAAATGCGGATGCTCAGACTTCACCGTCTCAGCCAACATAGCCCAATTCTCCATGAAGTAGGTACATCTGGCAAGGACGACCTCGGGTGCTGCATCCTTCAGGATCGTTTCAGCGATGTGGTTCGTCATGATTTCCCCCTAGTCGCAGCTTTAGTATTTCCCTTTTCTTAATCACAGATAAATCAGACAGAAACGCACAGTCCCCGACTCATGCTCGGCCCCCATGCTAGAAAGCAAAACCAGACGCTTAACAGATCCCGATTTCTGGATGGCGAGGCGCGTGTTTTCCGATGCTGTCCTTGCACAGGCCAGAAAGTCCGAACCGTCGTATAGTGGAGGGGTGATTGCGAGAACGGCCTCGACGCCGGTGAGATCCAGGCTTGCTGCGTCGCTCACATCACCCTTGACTGCTTGGAAATGAGGGTTGGAAAGGAACTCTTCGGGGACTCGGGTGAGATCCCTGTATACACCTTTCACGGTGATCGGCGTGGTGGTTTCGGTTGAGTTGAGTAGGGCGCGGATTGCCGCCCGGCCTGTTTTGGGTGAAGCTGGGACTATGGCGATGAGCATTTTGTTCGCAGATTGTGTACACGGCTTGTGTCTAGGTAAGCTGGTTGGTTATCGGAGTTTGACCATGAGAAGAGGATAATGCAAGGTGGCATGGCATGATGTAGAATTCTAGACCCCCAGTAGTCATTCATCGCTTCGTATTCGGATCTGGGACTGCGGGGCAGGTTGCAGCCTGTTGGTTGTGAGGAACTCTATTGATTCAGAACGCCCTTCGGATTATTGTTGTTTCGACGGCGCAATAATTATGTAAATGTAGAATGTCTGGCTACCCGAAGCCATACCCTGGATAGCAGGGTTTAGGTGAAGTCAAACTAGGTCACCGCAATGAATGGCTGGATCGTATGATCTGATCTATTGCCCCATTGGGGTTACCTTGGAGTCTTGGAAGCGTGTTATCAGACCAGAAATTGGCCTTTCATTGATATGCTAACTCCGGACGCAAAACCTGTCTGAAGAAGGGGGAATCTCTGAGACTAGTGACCGCGAAAGAACAGAAGACGAGCAACATGAACAAGACAGGGAATCGAACACTCTATTACATATATTGGATACTTTTGGAAACACAACAAAACGGCGAATGCACATCATAAAGCAATTTGAAACCGTGGATGAGTCCGAATATACTCTCCGTACTTGTAAAACAATAAGGGGCAGGCACACATCGCCAGCGCAATAAAGGCCAGCAATGAGTTGCCCCATCCCAATCCCAGAGCATCATACATGGATGGACCAGCCAGTGGGAGCACGGCACCGATCAAAGAACGTAGCACAGTGGCAGCAGCTGTGACGGACGCGGCATGCCTCAAGTACGAATCCACTAAGTACGTGTTCGACGCCATGAACACGACCATCAGGCCGATCGCAAAGAGGCCCGTTCCCAGAATCGGCACAATCCAGTGAGTGTGTGCTTGTGCCGACCAGCCGTACCAGAACAAGCCGGCTGGAATTGCCCAGCTTCCGAATAGCATTGGGGGCAGACGCGATTCTGGTTTGAAGCAGCCGCGTGCGGTGTGACTAACGGCGATGCGGTTAGAAACCACACCGCAGATCCCCAAACCCAGAATACTTCCGATACCGAAGCCCAGGTAGGCGAGGCCGGCCAGACCAGATGAGAAGCCGTAGGTGTTTCGGAAGATCGGGGTCAAAGTGGTGAACATCAAGTATAGGTACCCGTACGTGACAGCCGCGAACAGGGAGAGCAGGAATACAATCGGCGAACGGAAGAGAAGTTTCATGGGTCGCGCAAGTGCAGTTATGAACAGTTGTTTGGTGATCTTGGTGTCGCCACGGGCCGAACGAAGATTGGGGTTACCGGTCTCTTTGCGCAGTCGCTCAGTCTTGCGTCGTAGAAGCACTGGGGCATACGATTCGCGATACGACGCCAAACACCCGATTGTCATGACACCGGTCTAAGCGGTCAGCATACTCAATCAACAAATGACAGCAGAGCAACCTACTGCAATCGCAAGGACCCAAAACACCCATCGCCAGCCGACTGATTCGGCCAGGAATCCACCCGCGATGGGTCCGACAACAGGTCCCAAGATAGGTCCCAGAGCCCAGATGGCCATAATACCGGCTCTCTTTTCCACTGGCACCATGTCGGCGACCGTCCCAGAGCCGATAGTGATGGGACAAACGCCAGCGATACCGGCGAATAAACGGAACACGATCAACTGAGGCAAGGTTTGCGCCACGGCACAAGCAATGGTGAACACCAGGAAGATCACGTTGCAAGCATGGTACAGCGGAACACGGCCATATATCTCTGAAAGGGGCGCGATGAGAAAGGGTCCTAGCATGTATCCCAAGATGTAGACGGAAACAACAAACGATCCCAACATCTGGTCGGTGGTGTGAAAGTCGCGCATGACATATTGGACGCCTGGGGCAAACATAGAGGATGCTAGAGGGCTATTGTTTGTTAGTCCTAGTCTCCCATCCGTATCTATCTGCTTTGTATATGCGTACCTGATAAAAGTATTGAATGCCATGAAGACTAACTGCCGTGCTTTCTTCGCAGTCGACCAGTTAAAGGGGTTTGCAGGGTCATCGGGCCCATCCCAGTCGACTAGATTGATATCGTCCTCTTTCGGTACATTCTCAAGGTCGTTGTACGCTTCTGAGCTTCTATTTGACTCCTCTGCCTTGGCCCCCTTCTCAAGAACACTGGGTGTAGGCTCTGTCATGATGCTTGGACACGGATCTTTCATCCGACGGCTTGCCGTAGCAGAAGGTTACACGGCGAGTGCATATTGTTGAGGGCACCAGAACGGAAGATCGGCCGCTTATATACGGGGGCATTGGGCACAATGTATGGGAGTTTCCCTGCTCGAAGGCGTATTGACCCCGGTCCTTAAAAAGAAATCTAACGACCCAGGGATCTATGGACCGCCAATCACATCCCCGAGATAGTTGAGCCAAGGCGACGGGCGGATGCTTTGCCCACTCGGCGTGAGATTGAAGGACGCCTCCATTGTCAATCGACCTGAGTATGCGGAATTATTCCCCCTTTTATCCCAGAGTTATGCAGTTTATGCTGCAAATTTCGGCAAGTGGACCGTACCCCATAACATCGGATAAAAGTTTTTCTGCTAATCTTCGTATCGCGTATCCTCCTTAATCTCCTGCCCCTTTGGGAGTGTCGATGTCAGGGTACCATTTCTCAAACCCTAACATCTCGTCTGGCGGAGACCTCCGTACTGCGAATACTTTCATAAGTTCTCACCACATTGCCTTGGCCCAATCGTCTCCTATATTTGAGAGCATTCCATCACTCCAGTCCGCGCGCTTTGAGGGGACTTTGTGACTTCACCGCCTTAACCGAATATTTCCCATTGCGTATCTTGGTTGTTGATGGTTACTGTTTAAGAGCTCTTGCAGCTGAGGATGGATGGGATTAGCAACCATTCGCGAGAAACTGCACCGTGCTCTCCAGATATGCTTTGTGAGAGCCCCTGACCTATCGAGGTCGTTAGCGATGCATCACGACCATTTGGGAGTAAAGACCTGAGCAGTATTCACTGCAGAACGTATACTTTGATTGATATTATCAAACTAATCGTGGCCATAACGAGTGCACCCTCGAGTTGTAAATTGTCAGTGCGGTTAATTTTTCTTGCATGGATATACGCAGTGTGTTCTATCCGCGTCTGCTGTTCTCGCTAGATGATCCATCAAAGAGAGCAAACACATGCTAGTTATCTTCCCTGGATTTCCCTGGTTCATTGATGCTGCTGGCCCAGACTTTTGTGGTATCTCCCTAGTTTGGTATTGCTTTGGTCCCGGGGATCGTCACCTCAGCCATTTACTAGGCACCAGTACCTAGACTCAACGTTAGACATCTGAGGTTCGGCCTTCGCTTGATCACGCGCAGTTTTCAAGGCTGTACCTTCTCGGATTCAAGATCTGATCAGCGCAATAGATGTGGACCTCCGACCTCCAGCTTGAAGAGCTATCGCATATCCATCAAGCTAGCCCGCCGTGCTTATATTGCGCGATTTTAGATCTTCTTCGAGAAACTGTTGCCCACAACACCGAATGATTATCAGTACTTGGGGAAGATAGCTCTCGAGTCATAAGGCACTAAGATATAGTACCGACCGACTATAGAACCGGGTTCAGTAGTATTTTGCTCTGGTGTAGTTTCGTCAAAGGCCTAGGGTCATCCTGAAGAGGTTCTGGAGCTGGAGGAGGGAATGAATCGAGACCTACACGATCTTAAACTTAGTTTAGGGATTTAATGGCGCTACCTTAGTACCCTGTGTTCTCTGTTGTTGAAATATAGCGTACTAATCCGACCGTGCCTTGCTTATACAGGGGGCTACCTCCAGGGCGTCCAGGTCCTCCTTACGCCAGTTGTACTTCCACATTCCGAACGAATATCATCATTCATGCCATGGGCGAGCACTTGATGGCAGAATTACACTTTAGTTTGGAAAATGAAGCTGGCAATACACTTGTCGGGTCGCGCTTCACAATGCTTGATGCCAACCAACTAAGAAAAGAATTTGGCGGTATTGATCGTGCTGCTAAACCTATCTGCGCTTGGTGATACCTTCCATCCCTTCTACTGACTAGTCATATCTACCGTCACAGAGGGAACCTTACCTTGACCACAGCAGGGGCGAAGCATTCCTAGGATTTTAACAGTAAGAACTGACAGAGAATCTTTTACCTTCCGCCTTGTACGGAGGGTGCGCGGTACGGAGTACATCCAAAACCATCTTAGTGGGGTGCTGTGCTTCAGAGACATGCGAGCATATCTCCCTTCGGACGTAAATGGTCGGCTTGGCATCTCGGAGATGTTTGGTGCTTGTGTCATCGCTGAGCATTTCGTGCATCTCGTGAATTCATGCAATCGGAGATAATTTGTACATTGACTAAAAGTCCTTTGAGTGTTCTTTTTCTTCCTTGTTTTTCTTTTCAAAGTTTCTCAATATCCCTACGCCTTCCGACCAGACACCATGCGCAGCTCCGGTACGTAGCCCTTTTCTTTCATCTCCACCACCAGCCGGTCCAAAAAAGCAAAATATTCCTCTGGAGTCTTTGCGACGCCTGGAATCCCCTCGTCTACTCCAGTTAGCGTATATTCGTGCAAGATACGAAAGGAAAACATACCGCCCATCAGTCTCGCCAAATGGCGGAAGCTCTCCACCCACAGCTCGGCCGACTTATCGCGGTTGGCAGGGTCTTCAACCTTAGCACCATATGGTAGAGGGTATCGGACCGTCGTCACATCTTTGAATCCGAGCTCCTCCAGCAGCGGCTCTAGCTTATCAGCGAGATGGATGTCCATGCCGTTTCCCTCTGTCGCCCATATCTGTACTGACGCCAGTAGACGTTGTTGTGGGTGGGTATCCCAGTACTCTGGGCGCAGCCATTGACACTCGACGAATTGGATAGTACCACCGGGCTTCAATAATGATTGCAAATTTCGTACAACTTGAGGCCACTCGTCCTTTTTCAAGGCCCATACTAGCAACCTCTGATGAATAATGTCAAAAGAGCCTTCCCATTGCCAGTCCGACGGGAAAGGCTGTCGTATGTCGTGGTAGCGAAAGTCAATATCTACGCTGTCGTTGAATAAATGGGACGCGATATCCACGCCGTGCAGGTCCCAGGAATGTTCCGGGTACCGCTTCGCCATATCGTGCAACCAGACCCCTACTTTTGTTCAGCCCAGTCCACGATTTACAAGCTGGCTACGTACCGTCCGCACACCCACTATCGAGGATACGCAATGGGCGCCCTGTTGACGGTGGCAGAGGGAACCCAAAATAGGCATGATTCGAGGCGTCTGTAAAATGGCGATGCTGACGTTGGAGGCGATCCGCCTCGGTGACATGGTGAGGCAAAAGATAACTTCCTTCCGTCCCGGTGAAAACCGCCGTTTGGGAAGTCATGGTTTAGAAATGATTAATTTTTTTTTTTTTTTAATTTCTTTATGCTGTTGGGACCTGAACTTCTTCGTTGGAACACACAGAAGGCATGCCCTGTTTTATTGATAATACGGGGAGGGGTTGCTGCGGAAAAACGTGACCTGGCTTACGCTACGGAGCTCTAGTGCATTTTGTTTCTGACCTTCGGGTGGGCGACGCTCCCTCTTTAAATAGTAGCCAGCTTGGATCAAAGCTTCTCTTCGGAGATCCGTGGTCATACCCACCTTTCTCCGGGAGATCATATTCAACTCTCCTCCGGCGGCCCTGGAATGGAATCACCTCGGAATACTCTATTTGGATGTCAGTTTCGCCATGCCCGGAGACCAGCAAGTCCACTCCGCGCTCATATTAGAATGGCCTGCTCGCACCAGAGCGGCCTCTGTGCCGCTCTCACGTCTCCAGGTTGAGATCTTTCCTGCTGCTCAGACGGTTCTGCCTCCCTGATTGGTGACCGTCAGAATGGCGAATACTTCTCTCTCTGAGGGTTCGGTGTACGGTTGCGGGCGACCAGGAATGTGTCAAGCAGAATCAGCTATAACACCCCCTGACCGCCGGCATGGCTCACCGACAAGCTGGTCAATCCCCGCGGGCGTATATACGGCTCGTGAGCTGGTCCGACGCTTCGCGCCCTTGCTAGATACCGTCGTGCATCATCTGGGCGCTGATCCACCACATGCAAAGCCCGCCCGCATGGTCCTGCTAGACAACGTCGCCGCCAACCTATCCACGGACATGCGGGAGTCTTCACTACCCTTGTACGATCTCTCAGACATCAGCCGCCGCGAAATCAGAGACCAAGCCCGCCGGATAGGCCAGGTCCTAGTTCAGTGGGCACGCGAATACACCAACGAACCATATGACCCAGACCTATACCTGCGCGGTCCCGGCGATGGCCATCTCCTCCTCCAGTCCAGTCTGGCGTTGATGTATACCCGTTGCACACGGCCCCATCATATGCAACTCCTCCATGAATATATGCGCCAAATGGTAGTTCTGCGCGACGCGCTACTCCCCTTCCAGAACTTTTACGCAGTCCCGATCCCAGTAGACGGCCGGGCACGCGGCATTCGCCACCTCGAAGCACCCCGGGAAAGGTTTCTCAACACCGTGTTCGCCGGACACATCACGCAGGCCTCTGTCGTGACCTTGGCTCGGGCAGTACTCGCCCCAGACCTCCCCGTCACAATGACCGGCGGGTATGGGTTCCAGTATAAGCACGGCCTGATCCTCCCTGCCATACTCGCGGGCGGGGTGGTCCCATACCATCTGTTGCGATATGTGCCCTCTAAAATGGATTCCTCGGCAATGGAGGTTCTCTTCGACTATCACTTCCCAGATTATTATGAAGCACCGCGCAAAGACACTCCTGCAGGCCCGCCGACGATATTAACCCGCTACCCCATCGACCTTCCAAGTCAAAAGGAGGAGCTACAGACATCCGGCATAGGGCTTCAAGCAGGGTCCTCGACGTCGGCTGTCCGGGGCCTCGAGCTGCGTTTGGAGTTCAAGAACGGCAACACAGCACGGGTAGACGTCGGGCAGATCGCCCGCGGACTGCGACACTCGTACGAGGCACTCGAAGAAACACGCGATAGTACAACAAACCATACCGTTTTCCTGCACTCGGCATCCGAGATCCTCATTCAGCCCGGATGGGGACTGAGCACAGCCGAGCAGGCTGGATTCCATGTCATACCGGTCGACGACCCGACAATTGCCCTGGCTCTGTTGGGGAAGTTGTACCCTCGAAACGTGATCCTGCTGCCGAACGACGAGCAACTAGGACAAACAGATGATGTCGGGGAGGACTCCGAGGCGAAGTTTGTCATTTGGGGAGGGTTCAAGAGGGGAGGACTCAAGGGTGTGTTTTAGGTTGCACGAAGTTTGGTGCTTTATACTCTTTTACACCTTCTTCTGTCCTCTTCTAGTCTTCTCTCTTCTCTCTTTTCTTTCCACTTGTCCTTCTACCTTTGGTAGCGAGCTTTGCCTTTATCTTTCTTCCATGTCTATATTGCGCGCCGATATTGATACCAAATCACTCATAGTCCAGAACCACATCATAGAATACAATCAAACACAAATTAACACACCAACCAACCGCGTGTAACCTTCCTTACTACACACATCTCCTTCGAACCAAAGCAAACTCAAATCCATTCCCAAATGCACCAACATTAGACCCACTTTCGTCTCATAATACTCTGCAGGCCATAAACCAAAGGATATAAGTTAGAGCGTATCACCCGACCCATCTATACCTAGCTAAATCTCTCACTATGAAGTCCCATAAATTCCCATCCTGCTTTCCCACCCATAGTAACAGTATATCTCGGGTAAACCAAGAGGGAGGACATGCGCTTGTGGGCCCAAACCAGGGCGGGTTTTGGCGGCGGAGACTTTTCAGGGGTTGTTTTGTATACCTCAGCGTACTCCGTGTAATATAAAATAACATATCATTTGGAATATTTGAGTAAATACTGAAACACACTAAACCTTAGATAAAAGCAACTCAATATAGAAACTTTAACATTCCTAATCCATAGTCTAAAGCGGTTTCAGGGCTTTATCTCGTCGTCACTGTCTTCACCACCGAGGTGATAGATAGACTCTCCTCGGTGTAGGAAGAGTAATTTCATAACGTAAGGATTTGCTGCTGCTGCCGCCTTGACCTCATCTTTAGTGATTGGTAGACTCTCTCCTCGATATTTGAGGAGTAATTCCATAACTCCATCCGCATACCGTGAAGAATTTGCTGCTGCCGCCTTGACCATATCTTCAGTGATAGATA